GGATCCGCAAGGGACACAACCAAACGGGATAGATACCATACGTCTCGTCCAGCCATTCCTGGAATTCGACGGATCTGTCAAATGGCACAGCGACGTCCTGTGTAAGGTAAAACTGCGCGAGACCGCTTTTGTGGAGCGCAGCATACATGACACGGGTGTGCAAAAAGGGGTCCAGCACGCGGCGCGTGATACGGTTAAAGGGTGTTAAGAAGTATTTGAAGGCGTAGCGACCTGTCCAGAAGGCGCCGCGGTCGTAGCGAAATAGGTAATCTGCGAGGGGGATGTAGTCGACGATGGTGCGGGTATCGCCGTGGGACTGCGATGACTGAAGCCTCTTGGCCACCTCCTCGACGCGGAGATAAAACCACGGATCTTTGGCGCGTGTGAATCGCTGGATTCTTTTGTTCTCGGCCGGCGGTTCGTCGACCATGTGCCCGGTACAGGTGATGGTTGAATCCTTGCCAAAGGTGATGGCATCGACAAAGTGGTTCTCGTCCCTGTCTGTCTCTTCTAGAAGCTTGGCCACGGCCTCCGTAAAGCTTCTGGACAGATGATATTCGAGCCGTACAAACGGGCTCGCCTGAACCAACTTGACCCCCAAAAGCGTAATGACCCCAAGCGTCCCGAACGCCGAGGCCGCACCCCGGAAGAGATCTGGATTCTCGGTGGCCGACGCGCGAACCACCTCTCCATCCGCCAGCACGATCTCAATCCACTCCACGGTCTCCTCGAACGGCCCGTAGCGGAACGAGCTGCTCTCTCCGGATGTCCCGGAAAAGCCCCCACCAGCCGTAATGCCGGGAAATTCCATGATGACGGGCGGTACGACGCCGTGCTTTACGGTCTCCTGTACGAGTTTGTCCATGGGGACGTTGGGTTCCAAGATGGCGATGAGGGACGAGGGGTCGACGGAGAGGACATTGTTTAGGCGGGAGGTGTCGACTGTGTTGGCGCGTGTCTTGCCGGAGGGGCGGGTGCTGTTTGTGGAACCGTGGTAGACGCGGAAGGGGGTGCGGGCTTGGTAGAATTGGGTGATAGTTGATGAGATGAGGGCGACTTCGGATGCGTGGCGGTCCATGGTGGATGGAGGTGGTGAAGACGTTAAATCAATGAAGTTTACTTAGACTCTGAGAGGCAGCAGTGAGCGCTTGAAGCGATGTGCTCGGAACTTAGAAACAAGCGTATCGGAGGGCACATCTGCGTAGGAGGTGAATAGATCGTTGCGCCAAGACGGCATCGATTTGATGTGACTGGCTTGTCGTGTTGGTCGAAGCAGCGAGGAAATAAGCCAGAGAGAAGTGAGAAGACTGTTGTGGCTGATTGATCCAAGTTAGTGATGGTTTATCATCACAGTAGCAGCGTCGCAATGACCGTTGATTTAGAACACAGGTTTAGGCCTCCGCGAATGCTCGATACAGGGTGAAGAAGACAATTAATTTATATTTCATGGACAAGTTTTCGGGCCTGGCTCGTCGACTCGGGGGACTACAAGTATCAAGATCCATTCTAGGTCTTATTTGATGGATGCTCTCAAAATCTCCGAGAAACCAACGCACTCCTCATTAAGGAATTGGGGGACGAGAGAAACGGAAAACGAATAAGAAAATAAAATAAAATTTATTCTTAACTTGCATCTTCCAACTTAATTTCTTCCATTGTAGTTATATTGTTAATTTTATCTTAAATCGGAAAAAAAAAAAAAAAAAATAAGAAATAGAAAAAAAAATGCGAAAGCTTGCTCGGGGTTCGCTCCCAGGATCGAATCCTGGTTGCTTGCCACGAGCTACGAAAATTGCAATTTTCTAACCTTCTGAGCGCTCCAACGACCACTTGGCCACTGGTCGCAGTGTCACCACTGCTTGAGCTGCTCGGCTAGAAGTCGCTAGGAGATCCTCATATATAAAGCATATGGCAGGGCCCATATGTGTTGAGGAAGGTGCGTAGTGGGCTCCATCCCTCCAGCTTGACGCTCGCGAGGTAGCTTCAATTGATGGCGTCGAATTCTTCACCGGGAGTGCGGAGATGAGGGATCTATGGGTCTCTGGGGCATAATCGCATTGCTATTTGAGAGCTGCACTCTGAAGACAGTCTCTGATTTCCTCGCTCCATCTGAAGCCTGTTCCTCGTACAATTACACATTTACATTCTAGAGTGTCTAGTTCTATTATACAGGATATAATACTACACGTCAGCACCAGCACTCTTCAATAACCTCACCACTCCGTCATGGCCCCTTCTCTCTGCCAAATCCACCGGCCTCAACCCATTAAGATCCCTCGACTCGACCGCAACCTCGGGCCTATCCAGCAACAGCCTAGCTACCTCCTCGTAACCCCCAAGCGCAGCCGCCGCCAGCGCCGTATGGCCGCTCCCATCCCTCATGTCAGCCTTCACATCTCCTCTCGCAAGTAATCTGCGCACGATGTCCGCATGTCCCTGTCTGGCCGCCAGAAACAATGGCGTCTGACCCAACGCATCGACCGAGTTGACGTCGACCCCGGCATTCTCGAGCAGGAGCTCGACGACGGCCGCATGTCCCGCAGAGGCTGCCAGCGCCAACGGCGTCCTCTTCCATTCATCCGGCGCATCGGGATCAACTCCCGGCTGCGACAGCAAGGCCCTGACGACAGCTTCGTGGCCACCTTCCGCCGCATGGGCCAGCGTGGCATGTCTCGCCTGTCCGACCTGCGCCGCTCCGAGAGAACTCCCCCTCGCTAGCAAAAGCGCAACGATCTTCTCGTGACCCGCACGAGCCGCGCAGGCAAGCGGCGTCTGGCCGAAGCTATCCGCAAGATCCACCTCCACGTCCCCGCGCGCGAGGAGAAGCTTCACGACACTCTCATTTCCCGCCGAAGCTGCGTACCAGAGCGGCGTGCAACCATGTTTATCCCTTGTGTTGGGTCGCACATTTGGTTGGTCTAATAAAAGAGTGACGACGGCGTCGTGGCCGTTCTGGGCGGCTATGGAGAGAGGTGTTTGGCCGTAGCGTTCGGCCGAGTCGGCAAGGATGGCCGGCTGGCTGCTTGCTAAGAAGATCGAAACGGTGGAGGCGTGGCCCGCTTCGGCGGCGAGCCAGAGCGGGGTTTGGTCATCATATTCGGCGTGGGAGGCGAGGGATTGGTTTTCTTGGAGGAGGCGAAGGACGGTGGCGTCGTCGCCTTGTTCGGCGGCGATGGCGAGGGTGGAGCGGTGCAGAGGGATGCCGAGCGTGGGGGATTCTGGGGGTTCCATCGCGGGGGGAGGGGGAAGCTAGTGGTTGTGGGGATGTCGGGAGGCTCTGGTGGCATGTCCAGGACGAGGTAGATTAAGACTACACTAAAGACGGAAGCTTAATTTAGCGTAGTAAAGACATTACACTGTAGAATGGTATGAAGAGAGCCGGTAAGGGAAGAGAGCTAAGAAACCAGCTCAGAGTATCTATATATACATCGATCGATGTGGAACCAGATGCCGTGGGACATCCCTGGGGCTCTTATCCGCCAGGCCCAGCCATTGCTCTGGAATCCAAGAGGATGAAGGGGGGCGAGCTCCAATATGTCGAAACACGAACGCCAGCACGGGGCACAGGGTCCCTAGTCAGGCTCCAGAGCCAGGCCCCAGTTGCTCCGACGCAGCAGGAATGAGTGGGTGAGTGAGCGCGCTGTTCTCGAGGGGTTAAGAAAGTGAGAAAGCTCCCCTTTCCCTTTGACCTAGTGCCAAGACCGGCGTTCGTTTGGGAGGCTACTCCGTAATGTCTCTAATGCTGCAGCCCTACGAACACAGCCTGGACCAGACCAGGAGAAGGAGCTTGAAAGGGGAAACGGCACCCGTCTGAAATTAGCAATGTGGGACTAATGCTACCGAATGCAGGTCAGCCGGATCGTTTCGTTGGGGGTATTTCGCTACGGCTGCAGCGACCCGGAGGCCCTGAGCGAACGCCATGCGATGCGGGTAATAATAGTACAGGTGCGCGTTGGTGTTCCTGGTGGAAGTGTTCTCGAAGATTTCCATCCCCCGTCGTCGGGTCTCCCTGGTCGGGTCGAGACCGTGCGAATGCTGCGGCTAAGAATGCATCAATTGAGTCTCGAAGTGTTTGTTGGATGGTAGATCAAGCAAAAGATTGGCATCCTTTGCCGCTGGTGTCAGGGCGTGAGCTTGGAACGGAGTCACAGTCTGGCGTCAATCTCTCTTTGTGCTGTGAACCCTCCAATTCGGCCAATTATCTGTCCGTCCCAGGAAGCTCAATCAGTTGAGGTGTTTACGAGGTACGAAGCAAACGGCTGGAATGCCACATGCAGGAACGGAGAAAGAGCAGCGGAGATCGAGTTGAAACGCGGACTCGGATTGTGTGATACTAGTGACATTTTCTTTAGGAAGGAACACCGCTGCCGTTGAGGGACCGGAAGTTTTGCATCGTCTTTTCGCCCGCTGTCCTTGGGGCTGCTTGGAGCACTGAAGGAGGAGCTTCTCCGGAGTTTCGTTCGTATCAACGAGAAATCCGCAAGGATAGCGATGTGATGGTTTCAGCTGTACCTCGGTACAGCAGTGTGGTCCTTAATTATTCGTGGAGACATTTTAAGATTGATCCATCTCAACTTGGCTCCTCCTTTGCAGAAGAGTTGAAACACTGTCGCCCTTCTGAAAATGGGCTCTCACATGCGAAGAGCGTAGCATTGTGAGCTTTGTGGGACGGACAGACATTGTCAAAGCACTTCGCACCTTCGCTTCGTACCTTCGTACTTTGATGACTGATGGAACAGCTCCAGCCACAGCTAGCATTGTCAGCCACATCGACCGTTGGGAAACTGTGGCTGGCAGCTGTCGGCAACAACTGATTGTTGATTGTTCCATTTGTGGTTCAACACTCCTTCCTTGTCCAAGGGTCTCGGAACGTTCCAAATGCGACACTCAAGACGGACAAATTCATGCGGCCAGCAATCTCTCCTCACCCGACATCCCACCCCTTATTTACATTCTAGAACCTCCAATTCCGACACCAGAGAGATGCATCCCAAGCCATCATGGATTTTGTAAGTAATCGTGGAACAATTCCTACCCTGAAAAGGGGCCTCGGTTGCCCGCTGCTGCTGCTGCTTCACCCCAGCGGAATTCTCGTTTCGGCCCGGAGTCCTCGCGTGCGTGCCCTTGAAGATTCCCTGCAAGGCTGACAAGATTGTGGAACCACAGTGGTCCCGCCTCCTGAGCCATACCTCGCTATCGTCGAGCACCTCACGAAGGGATGCCGCGCGAGACCCCGCCAAACGTCTTCATAGATTTGAAAGAGAATACGGCCAGCTTTTGGTATGCTTCAGTCCCTCCGACCCACGAACCCCCTGCCCACCCCTTCTTTCCGGATTGCTAACACTCTTTATTCCCCGTTTACTAGCAAATATGGCGCAACTCCTCCAACCTATCTCGAGACTACGAAGCCGCCGAGAAGCTCGAGATCCGCCTCCACGAACTCACCACCATCCTCAGCGACGAGAGCAGACGCCCCCTGCCCCACCCCTGCATCCAGTTCGCCTCGATCAAGCAGATCTACGTACCCATCGCCAAAGTAGCCACGACATCGTACAACGAATGGATCATCAAAGAAGCCGTGAACTTCTTCGCTACCCTCATCGAGAGCGAGGAAGAGGCATTTGTCGAGAATGCCAACTTCTCCTCAAGTCTGACGAACCTCCTCGTGCGCATCACGGGCCAGAATAGCGTTCGGCTCGGCCATGACACCGAGGCCAAGGTCGTCGAGCTCGCCTTCAACATCACGACGAAGATCCGACTCCAGCCGCGCATCCTCGACGTCTGGTTCAAGACGCAACAGCTCTCTCAACATGACAACAGACGCCTTGATGACCGTGAGCGGTTCGCCGGCAGGACCCAGAAGCAAGACTTCCCCCTGTTCTACATATTGATGGACTACATTCAACACGAGGGCAGGGTTGGCGACTTTGCGAGGACGGGACTGCTCTACATTATTGAGTCGGCGTCCAACTCGGTGGCTCTCGAGCAGTGGATTGTGGAAAGTGACCTGTCCACGCTGATGGCTACTGGCCTGGGTGCTCTGTATAGCCAGCTTAGCAGGAAGCTCGTCATCGATCATCTCCCTCACGAGCTGCCCCCCGTTCTCGCCCTGTCTGATTATCAGCATCCGACGTCAAACTACGAAATCGTAGCATCCTGCTCTCCGGATTTCCAGGCCCACCTCGAGACTTTCCTCTCCCATTTGCTCTTCTGGCAAGATGTGTTGAACCACTGCAAGTCAATCGAGGTCAAATCAACATTGTTGGAACATTTCCAAGTAATCTTCCTTCAGCAACTTTTGTAAGTTCCTTGGATTCCTGTGTTTGTCGTCCTTTATGTTTTCCCCGGGCTGACTTTTTCTTGTCTCTCTCCCACGCAATAGATACCCCTCGCTTCTCGAGTCTTCCGATATCGATGGTGGCTCTTCCGTCGCAGTCATCACTTATCTCCGCCGAATTCTCGAGTCCCTCGACCATCCCGACATGATCAATCTCATCCTCCACTACCTCCTCGCCCTTCCCCACCCTGGTTCGGGTTCGGCGTCATCACGAGTGCAGCCCACCAACAACACCACCGTCAGCGACGCCCGAAAGCGCAAGTCTATGGACCTTGCGACGATGATGGCCGAAAAGTCCGACCTCTCCTCCGTCACGCCTCTCCTCTTCAACCTCGTCGACCTCACGCTCGCCTGCCTTCGGTCGCACAGCCAGCAAACCATACACGTTACCCTCCAACTAGTCTCCGCCATCCTCAAGCGCCACCACCGCTACGCTGTCCTCACCCTTCTCCGAACCGAGAGCCTTCACGACGAGTCGAGCCACAGAACCACAGGTGCCCACGATCAAGAAGTCGAGTACCTCATGACCCTTGCCGGGTCCATTGGCGGCCAGGACAACTTTGACGAGGTGTATGACAATGTCCTCAAGGACGCCATGACTCGGTTGGAGAGCCACCCTTGCTCGCTCAAACTGGTGGCGCCCAAGGTGTCGACGAATAATCATGAGCTGCCCGCGATTCCCGATAGCCTGCCGGGAGCGCCGCCGGATGTGAAGGCACATACGCTACAGCCGGATGATCCTTTGCTCACGACGCTGTTGGACATACTCGAGAAGTTCTTTATTAACCCTGTCGACACGAATCTGTCGGTCACGGAAACCTTGACAGATTTGGCTATTTGCGGGTATATGGGAATAGAAGGATGGATGCTTCGGCACCCGAAATACTATAGTTATGATGAGGATGAAGAAGTCGAAGAGGCTTCTGGTTTCGTGCCTGGGGGCTCGCGGGACACGGATTCTCCGGAATACGAGGCTGCACATCGAGCCGCATCTCGGCGCCTCTGTCGAAAGCGACCGAGGTGGGAATCAACGGGACTCCCTCGCCTTCTCGTCATCCTGAAGCGTCTCTGCGACCAGGTAGCGGGATACCGCGAGTCAGTCCCCCGCTTCGACGATCTCCTCCAGCAACGTCGCGAAGCTTTCCAAACTGCGGACTCGGCGCCCGTACTCCCTACTCCGCAGCCCAAGAAAGGCGGCAGCCAGGCTCCGGCGTCGCATCACACGCCCGACCGAGCGAGCATGGACGATCCCCGTAGTGACTCTCCAGCTAGGCCATCCGCGCTGGAAGGGTTCGCGCAGAGACTCCTATCCGAACTTGGCACGCCCTCGAGGTCGGGAAGTCCCCGCGGCCGGAAAGAACCCAGCAAGACGACACCATCACAGGGTCCGTCGGGCCTCTCCGGCGGATACGGAATCGGGACGCCGACAATGACGCCGACCAAAGGTGTGCCCGTGCCGCCGAAGGAGTTTCCCTTGAACTACGATGCTCCATCGCGTAGCGGGGGTGTGGGAAGGAGTTATTCTCCTGGAAGCACCACCAGCGGAAGAGATGACTACACGGGCAAGGATCCTACGGTGGCGAGCCAGATGGCTGCTTTTGCGGCAATTGATCAGAGCATACTCGCGAGGCGGGTGGGCATCCCAGGGAGGACGCCGGCGGTACCCCTCGACCTTGGCAAAACCTTGGACTCTGAAACCTCGGCCCCGGTTGAGGCACAGGCTCAGGCTCCGGAAGGGGATGCTGTTGCCCCTAGCGAGGGCAGTAGCGGCGGCGACGAAGCGATCGCGGGAACAGCCGAGCCGGTGGAGGAGGAGATTACGGTTTCGGTGTCGCATGTTCTTACGAATGCGTTGATATTACAGTCGTTCCTGATGGAACTTGCGGGGCTAATACAGGTGCGGGCGGGGTTGTTCAACGAGGTGCGGTTCGTGTAGAGAGGGTGTAGTAGATTTACAGGCATACTTTTTGGAGGCTTTGCCTATAGACGAGTACGCTACTTAGATCATGGCAAGTTGAGAAAGATGGGAGCTGAACCTGATGGGGAAGCGTATGAGGAGCACGTGGGAGACGGGAAGGGAAACACTTATAGCATTGTTTGGCGTTGGGACATGAATGGTTTTTCTTTTTTTCTTTCTTTTTTGGTTCTCGTGTCTGTTGAGCGAGACGCGAGTATGCATATTCTTTTAATCATTGTTGTGGTAGTGATCTTTATTCTTCGCTGTACATCCCTCTCGTCTCTGTTGCTAATTTTTTCCACGGTTCTGCGCTTTTCATTGTACTCCGTAGTACACCAGCTCCAAGTCTTGTTTTCATGTCATCTCTTCGCGGTGGGTGGCAAGGGACTTTCTGTTGATGATGAAAAGACTCGGGTCATCCTAAGCTTATAAGCTCCGACTTTTTCTTTGTTGCACTGCAACGCTACTACATGTTTTCCACCTGATCACCTGGGGATAGGTAGGTCGAAGGTCGAATCGGGGATCGTGGCTCCATCGAGTGCCGGTTTTTCCGCAATCCGATGGAACCCACGGTTTCTGAATACGAAAGGGAGCTCTCGGTGCATGCAGGGTGCGTCATTTTAAGCTCTGCCCATTTTACATTGAGATTGGGAGGGAAGGGTTGCATGATTAACAATTGTCTAGTTTAGGACCAGAGCTCCCAGCTTTCTCATGTTGTCACTTTTCATCTCTCCCAGGCAAGGTCCACGGTTCTGGATTAGATCTATCTTGGTGTCTCGGGACCCGGGTTGTTCCTGATCTCGGGTCTTGCCATTCCTCAATGAGTTGAGAGAACGAAACCTCTGGCCCACAGCTCAGGCAGCGGAGACCTGGTCTGGTTTAGTATCTTACTCTGCTCACCTCCGTAGATCCCGCAAAGGGCCGGCCGGGGAAATCATGCATTAGCCCCAAATTCCAGCCAAGTGCCGATCTCTAGCCCATTCGGCATGACCCGTCGCTTCTCTTCCCCATTCGCTCATAGTTTGGTTGAATACGAGTCTACCCAAATCAAGGAAGATTGGGGATCCTCATTCGATGACACGAGAGAAAGTGTTAGTCTTCTTTTAGTGCAACCCTTTCTTCATTCAAAGATGGACAGATCTAGCACGAGATTTATCATGATCCATTGGACCAGTGTTCCATTGGCGAACCGAGGCGCAGACGCTGGGGGGAGGAAAAAGGTCCCGTGGCTGCAGGATGCGTGCATATCCATAGGAATGTTTAATAAACCAGTGACGTCGATGCCTCACCTGTTTAGCCACCAAGACGGCACCAATACGAGCCCCGGCGAAGGGAGTCGGTCGATCCCGATCTAGACTCGCATATGAGATGGACAATTGATTTCTAGGAGATGGAGCTTTGCTTGATTGGGGACGGGAAGTACAGAGTATTCGAGAAATATATAAGTCACCAGCCACTCTTCTGATCTTCTTCTGTCTCATCGTTATGTTTGCTTGTTAAGCATCGCGAGAGTCTTTTCTATACTATTCGACTAAACCCCTATCTATCAACTAATTCCCCAGTTACTATCACACATACGATGCGCACCTCAGTCTTTGCTAGTCTAGTGGCCTTCGTCGGCCTCACGGCAGCGGAGGACATCCTCGACTGCGGTGGTGCTCCCTACTATCCCTCTCAAGTACGTTCTTCTCCCAACGTCAGTACAATATCCAGCGATACTAATACCTCCCGCAGTACGTCTGCCACAACGGCAACTTCCTCTGCCCCATCATCGCCGGCGAACCCCTCAGCTACTGCAACGGCGCCTGCTACAGCACATTCATGTACAGCTGCAACAACGGCGCCCTCAACCAACTCCCCCGCCACGAAGGCGCCTTCACCTTAACGGTGTCCAACCCCAAGATCGCAGCCCACGGCTGGCCCGTCACGGCATGCCAGCAGCACCTCTGGATCGGCGGACAGACCTGCTCGTACTGTCCTGCCGACACGATTGGACAGGAGAACTGTCCTCCGGGAGACAAGACGGCGCTCTTCGCGCCCAATGGTCTGGCTGTCTCCGTGCCCGGCGGCCAGCTGTATTATCTTGATCCTTCCTGGTATGTGGGGTACACTCAGGCGCACTCGGCACTTATACCCGGAGGTAGCGTCGTGGGCGGGTTTGCTGCGTTTGAAGGTGGTGGTTTCGTGAATATCAATGAGGGCGCTTTGGGCTGGGTTGCGTGCTATCCTACTGCTTCAGGTGGCGGTGGTGGGAAGTGGACGCTTTATTCGAGGAATACGACGAATCCGGATATTAGAGAGGGATGCTTTGCTGTGAACTTGGCTATTGCCGCTGCGGATTCTCCTGCTGCGTGGCAGTATACTTGAGGGTTGATGATGGGGAGGGGCGTGGTGCGTGAATGGAAGAGGCAGGGGAGAGAAGGGGATGAGAGGCCATTACTCTGACCAGATTGAAGAGGCAGTGTCTTCCGTTTTTCCTGTTATTTTTTAATCTTTTAGTCCAGCGTAAGTAAAATGTGAAATTTAAATTTAGATCACGGCGAAAGTATGAACGACTCAAGCCACGGCCTGTCTGAGACCTGCTTCTCAGCCCCGATGTACTAGAACTAGCTCAGTGAATAAATGCAGGGGCATGTTCCCGAACACTAGAATTTGTAAAGATAAACCCTACGACATTGATGTACTGAGGTATTTACCACGCAAATTTCATTTCATAATCGAACCTCTATAATGGCTCATACCTCAAGGTGAGGCACTCCCAGCGAGGTCCTCACAGCTTTCAGTGAAAATAAAACTCGAGGCGCCATGGTTTAGATTTCGGGCTTATTACTTCTTAGGCCAAGATGTCGATTATGGGTTGAGCATTCTCGTGGGCGTGATAGGCTTGTTTACCGCCCAGCTTGTCTGATCGGAGCGCTTGCGACCAGCAAGAAAACTATTATTAGGCAGGGCTCAATGTGGCATCATTCTGCAACTTGGTGTCGCATTATCCACCTGCGGGGGGCTGGGCTACAAAGTTGGCTAAAGTTGGCCTGGCACTATCATCAAATCGGTTGGACGAGATCAATGGTCGATGGAACGTTGATCTTCAATGTTTCCATGCCTTCATGTCTTGAAATAACCCATTCCTCGTCGAGAACCAGGGGAAAAGAGCCGATTAACACCAAGCCCGGTTTACTGGCATATTGTTAATTGGATTGTTCGCTGAGGGTCAAATCACATGACTGTCTTGCCCACGGCGTCGCAACTGAGATCGAACATCACTGAGCCCCGCCCCCACCTTCACAACTTGACCATTAACTCAACCAACCTTGCACGCGATAGACGATACGCCCTCATACTATACTTCTCCCGAAACGACATGCCTGACCTGTCTGATATGGTTTCGAGGGCGACAGTAGGACTCGAGCCTGAGCAAGTCGAAAGATTGGTTGTACACCTGCGAGAGTCAGCGCGCGTCGATCACCAGCGGCGCACCGACCTGAGCAGCCTGGAACCCGAACATCATCAGGCTTTCGTTCACGCCCTCAAGAACGTGCTTTCCACAGAACTTGCACTTTTCACATTTGCGCAAATCATCGATGGACTCCCCACTGCCGATGTCGGTTGGGATCGCAGGGGCCACGGCCTTTGGGGAGATCATCCATTGGAGAGTCATGAAGAGCTGTGTCCCGGCGCGATGAAGAAAGCGCGTGAGCTGGGGCACTCGTGGGACCCTGAAACGCTCAGGTTCAATCAGAAGGTGGGTGGTATTGTGATATTTCCACTTCAATTTCCGTTTCCTCCTGCTGTCCCTTCAATATTTGGCGGTAACCTATTGCAGTGATGCGATGAAACTGACGTCTTTGACAGCTTGTTAGCGGGTTCCGGAAAGCAAAAAAGGGCTCCAAGGCGTTTAATCTACGTCTTATCGAACTAGTCGCTGTCGCGGTCCACCAACTGGCCGCTACAGTATTCAAGATGAACCTCCGGCTCCATAAAGGCGACGTTGATAGTGTGGTCCGTTGGGTCCCACACCGGGAAGAAGAGGCCACGGGACACGTCTTGGTAGCTCCCCCAACAATTTTCTACCACCCCGGCTATCTCGCCGACGATATCTACCCTGAAAAGGTCGCCGATATTGTTGGGTACTGGGCCGAGGATCGCATTTTCGGCGGTGTCGTCATCTTCGACCGCAAGGCAGAAGCCGAAGCCAGCGCAAACGGCCATGACGCGGACATGCCAAATGTTTATCTCCATGCGTGTCGCCGTAGAGTCACAACTCGAATCACCCAGCTGCGTGACGACCAGCAGGATTCCCTTCTTTCGTTCTTTTCCTCCCGGTCACCATCTTCACATTCGTGTCCCTTGCCTATCCTTCTCGATAAGCAGAATAGCGTTCGTGTCGAGCCCTACTACGCTACTATTCATCACCGCATCTTTCGCGACGTATGGGAGCGCAGACCATTATCGCGACGTGAGATTTCTATCTTGGTCCGGAGGCCAAGGGCTGAGATCGATTATCCTGAAGGACGAGAGCTTCTAGAATACATCAACACACTTCCCCTATCTAGTGGGAAACTCCCCAACTCTCCACCAGATGAATACAGCCTCGCCTTTGATATTATTGAGGCTGATATTATCGAGGCTGTCCGCCGTTCGGCGCCAGAGACGGCACCGGAAACCGGTGAGACTCGAACAGGATTACTGCCCTCGACATCTACAGGCCCCGACGGCGCGCCCGGGGACAACACAAGTGAAGAGCCCGACTCAAAGAGGCGCAGAGTAGACTGAAGAGGATTAGCGTTCGGATCTGTACTTTATTTTGCTATCCATCCCATTCATGCCAAATACCAACTTTTCTTACGTATTTCTTTCAAGGTTTACCTAGCCCCTTCCCCCACTTGGCATAAATCAGTCAATCCTGAACATCAACCTGACCCCAGTTGTCCCGGGATTTTTTTTTTCTTACTGCTCACGTTACAGTCCGTAACTTCTCCTACCCAATCGATCTTGGTGTTTGCGGTGATGTTGGGGATAGAGGCTTGCGCGTCCAGACCCCTCTAAATACCCCACGAATCAACCGTTCCAATGCTAACCGCCAGCATGCTGGGGGTGGCCCGGGATTGGGGGCGGGCGCCCATGCTCCTGGATGAAAGCATGCCTTACCTGATTCGAAGCGCAGGGGCCATAGGCCCCGAAGATCACCACACCAAACACTCATCCATTTCCAAGGCTGCGTGCGGCCTTTTGACCCCCGGGTCGTCCGGCGCTTACACGGACTACAGCAATTTCTGGGCATCATTTACGGGAAAATAAGCGCCAGGCTCCAAGCCGGAGGCAAGAATTGCGTCAGGGAGTCCAATTCTAGAATAGACTGTCGCTATTATTGGACAGCGTTCGCGCCCATGGTTCTCTTGCAGTCCTAAGTGAGACCGCCACCGCCCAGTATCACGACAGATCCTGGGAGCCACGGTTCCATTGCATATGTTTGATATGAGATATTTTAGGGGCATTATTGATTCTCTGTTCCAATTCAAGGGTGGCCGTCCTCCTTGAGGGAGACGACCCCTCGGCTGCAGGGGGTTATATAAAGGCAACTTGAACCCATCGGATCCTGGAGCCCACGGCACAATCCTACATCATTCTCACTCAGTTCAAAGCATTCCCTAGCTCCTTGTTGAAAGCACCTCGTTTACTCTTCGCATCAAACTTTCTTTAGACGTACCGTTTTCCCAGCTCACTTCTCTGTTTCTGTCCCCGTACATCATGCCATCCCCACCACCGCGAATGTCTCCTCTGCCCGCATCAGCGGAACCGCTGCCGAGTGTACGGATCCTGAACCAGGTTGAGGAAGACCCTCGCCTGTTATCCGTGTTTCCGAGAAACACTCCTGAATGCAGGATCGTAACCTTTGCAGTACACATGGGCCTCTCCATCCTAGAGACCGGGGCGAGCCGTAGGACCTTGGTCGACACAGGCATGAGAGTCTTGGACAGATGGGGAGCCCGCGGCATGAGGTCTCGAGCCGTCGGGGCCGTTTCACGCACACCAAACAGACAGGCGATGATGAACCTGGTGGACGACTTCCTTTCCAAATGTCGTGCCGATTCACCCAATGTCATCCTCAGCAACCGGGTTGTAGGTGATGCTTCGACGGAGCGATACACCTGGTACGAACCCCAGAACGGCCATGATTTCGATCCGAAGAGGGCGGCGCTTGTGTTTGTCAATAGTACTGTAAGCCTAAGCCCCCCCCCCCCCACCCCCCGGGGATACATGGCCTTTGGCCCCTCGCTAATCGGCAATTAAGATCGTTCGAAACGCCATCCAGGCGGCAGATCGTCTGGATCGAGAGGAGTTGCGCAAGTTCCTGTTTTTACTTGGAATCTCCGTCGCTCATGAGTTGGTACATATGTTCGTGGGATACCTTTCCGGTGATAATGAAGACGACACCCCGCCCACGATTGGGCGGTACCCTCCCGGTACTTCGGGGATTGGCGAGGCCGGCATGCATTGGGAAAACGTTCTGTTCAATGGCTTCGTCGAGGCCATGTACGACTCCAGTAATCCTCTGGGTGCGAGTCAGGCCGGCATTTACTATTTGACGACTCCATCCGCACGGGGCCGTCTTCTCAATCGCGACTGGATGTTGAGGATGTTGCGGTTTGGTATGTGTCATAAACGGCGATCTCTCTTCCGTTTCAAAGTCCGATGGTTTGAGTACGAATTCTCACATGAAACTATATAGGATTTGATTTTCCGGCCTCAACGACCGGACCTGAAGTCAATATGAGAAGGCTTAGGCCCATGGAGCAACTCCGCCCGCGTTCAGATTATCAAATGTTGAGTCAAGTCGTTACCAACCACGACAGGATGATGGCTTATATCAACAACCAGCCCTCGATCTGCTTCAGGAGCTCCGACATCGAGAGACTTATGGAGATGGTCGACAACCCCCGCCGGGTCCGTCGCGACTGAATGTCCAGAAGGCGATGTTTGGTACATGTACAAGTACGTTGACTATGCCCTTGGCGGATTGCACGGCCGATCGCGCGGAGGCGTTGCTATTGTCTGGACAATTTTGTTTTCATTTTATCTCGAGTAAATAGTCATGTTTATCTTTTTGTTCCCGAAATTTATGCGTATGCCCTCAAGCATGGTCAATGTGAACAGTGGAGGCGATCAGCTGCTCCAAAATAGTGATTTCCATATTCCCGCCCGGTGATGTTCCAATCTTCTAGACTTCTAGAGTATTGCAGATATGCAAAGTAAGTCTGTCAGCCATCTTTCAAGTTCTGGCAATGGTGCCGACCAAAGCTCATACAAGATCAGCTTCAGGAGTGCCTGGCAAGGGAGATCTGAGGTGAATGAGCGCTCCACCAGCCACTCAGCCCGAGTACGGTGATGCCGCAGGTAATAGGGACAACGAAGCGGCGTAGATTCGGGCGTGTTTTTCTTCTTCTTCTCTCATAACAGTGATGTTAGACGGCAGCGAAAAGCCGGGCAGAGCTGTCAGGCCCCGGCTCACGTCGCTTGTTTGTGGGCCAGATGAATGACCCGAGTCATACCGCTCACAAGAGCAATCGGTGCGGTTGTCTCCCTGAGAGTGGATATTTGAGACCGCCTCTCAGCTCTGGGATAGAAGAAGAGTCGCAAATCCCAACGACATGGAGGCCGGCAGGGAGCGAAGCTGGAGAGAGGTCTCCAAGACGATCGATGGATATAACCTTAAATAGCGAAAACACACTCAAGAAATGACGCTGGGCAGTTGGAAGTCTGTGCATTTAATATCCGTGATAAAAGAAACAGCAGATCTAGGGGATATTCTTCTTTTATTTGTGCCAGGCGCATCGGCTGCATCTCCGGCCCCAGGTACATCATGATCGCCCTGGCATGGAGTCGGTGGTGATCAATTGCCTTCCAACCTCAAGATGGTGATTGCATTGTCCTGCTCATATACATCAGCAAGGCACACAAGTCTAGAGACAGCGTCTCTGTGGGCAAGGAAGGGCAATAATAAACCGGGACAAACCTCTAAGCCTATACGTATAGTACGTACAACAGCAATTGTGCTATAAATAGCCTCCCAAAAGCAAATTATGTCCCCGGGATCAATTTGCACTCCCACAAGCGAGTCAGTCCATCCCCGCCACTTGTGAAGGAGCTTGGCTCTCCCCGGCCGTGATTAATATTCGGTGACCAACCGTTTGGATTGTCTCCGAGATGAAAGCTGGCTTCGCCCCGTCAGCGCATAATGCCCACAGTCACCGATTGGTGGCATTAGCTTTTGTCCCTGCCCCTGCCTTCTGCCTTGGGCCCCCGAGAGAGCAGGAGTGTCCCCGGACCTGTCTTACTGGCGGGGAATCCGAGCCATCAGCTGATGCGAGTTCATTTCTGGGGCCGAATAAGAGTTCTAGAGATGGACTGGAGTTTCTTCAGTGGGACGGGATCGTGATTCGTGACATGCCGCGCGGACTTGGACGGGCGATCTTGGCACTGACTTAGACCTGAGAGCCGATCACTTGTCTGTGAGGCGAGCTGGCCTCGAAGGATTCCGAGGACCTCGACTAATCCTCCAGATGTGCTTTTTTTTTTTTTTCTCCCTTTCCTTTTTCTAGTTTGAATAGATGAGGGGGGTGTTGTACGTAGGGAACGGATAGATTGAGGTTCCATGGGAAGCGAAAAGGATAAATTGAAGCGACATTCCGTCTCCAAGATCCTCGAGAAATCCTTCAATGATCACTTCCAAGATCAGTCCCAAACCCATTCTAAATCCCATTTTTCTCTTCTCTCGATATACGCCAAAAAGCTCAGGTTGACAATGGTTTCCCCAAAGCTCCTCTACCTCCTCCCCTTCTCCACCCTCGCCCTCGCATCCGCCATCGCCACCAGCTGCGATCCCACCATCCCCGGCATCTGCCCCATTGGCTTCAAATGCGACGTCATAGACTGTGATACCTCCAGCCCAACCCCCTCGTGCACCGGCCGTTGCGTCCCCGCGAGGGGCATCACTATTCCCGTTCCCGAGCCGGATCCCTTGCCTCCCGTTAAACCTACTCTCACCGTCGATACCTTGTCCGCATGCACCGAAGTGCCCGAGGACCCCGCGCCGAGTATTGAGTACCCGCCATGCGGTGGCTTTAGGATTGAGCCTTTGCGATGTGAGGATCCCGACGCCATCTGCATTTCCGACCCGAGGAGTGGGAGTTGTGGAATGGCCTGCGATGAGCTTGGTATCTGCGTCGTTCCCATCTTTTGTGGTGGCATTGCCGCGTTTGAGTGCCCCAAGGGAATGACGTGTTACGATGATCCTCAGGACGAGTGCAACCCGCGGGCGGGCGGCGCAGACTGTGGCGGTATCTGTGTTTGAAGGAATGGAGATGATGATAATTGGGAAAGCGGTATGACGGTGCAGAGCATGAGGGGAGACAGGATAGCTTCACAATTTCTGGATCTCCGTGGCTTTCATATACTTCAGAGTAAATAAGATGTCATCAACACTTGCTTTCAACATTTAACCAGCTCCAGACGCTGTAAGGGTCACCACTTCCTGGAGTAAGTGCGTGAGATCAGATCCCCCAGGTCTTCAAATCATCTTCATCTAATCACGAAACTTCTTCTATTTAGGAGGATTCAAGCCTTCCAAATAACTGTCAAGAGAAGAAAAAGAAGAAAAAATGGTCATAAGCAGAAGGTAAATTCCGGCAAATATCCCATCGTCTCTTCGCCACAACTAATGTGCCCAAATCTATGTCAAGACACTGACAAGATCTCCTTGGCCCGCCACAGCTTGCCACTCTTACCAGTGACCCTTACGACCCTTATTTCCGTCCCAGTTTCCTCGGTATTCATAGCCATAGCCAGGGTTGTAGCCCCTGGTGGTAGTAGTCGCGAAAGTCGTCGGCTGCGCAGTCTTGGTTCCCTCGATTGGTCCCAAGTCCTCCGTCGATGTCTCAGAGACTGCCGGGTAAGACTCGGCGGGCTCAGCAGGGACAGTTGGGGCAGAGGCAGAGGCCACATTCGTTTGGGTATATGACGGCGGTATGGTCGGTTCCTCCGGAGAACTCGAGTCGATTGTAGATGCTGGCTCGTCGACTTTCGGCGATGAAGGGTTAGGGCTATGAGAAGAGGGTCGGTAGGTTGGGTGATAAGACGATGCCACCGAGGATTGTGTGATGGGGTGTGAATCTTCCGTCGAGGGTACGGGATGCCTGATATCTGTACCATATTCCCTAGTCGGCAGAGGACCCTGGATCGTTGTCTTAGACGGCCTCTGGGTGAAGTGTGGAGGGGGAATCGTCGGGTGTCTTTCCGTACTCCATCTCCTGGATCTGGTGAATTTCCTGCTCGTCCCAGCCGACGGCGTTGGGCCTGAAGACACTCCAGTTTCTGAAGTCGGAACGGGGGTGAGTGTAGACTCGCCGCCCGTCGGAACAAGAGTGCTTCCCCAAGTGGATGGGAGCGTCACGTAACCTAAGCTCTCAGGGGCGGTAGGTCCAGCCGACTCCACTCCAGTAGAGACGCAAGTCTCGGTATTTGTGTGCCCATAAGACGTGGATTCTTCGGGCCCAGCACTTGATTTGCTCGTCGGCACAGGAGAGGCACCAGTCACGGTCCTCAAAGTCGAGCGGCCCCGAATAGACGTATGCTCTGTCGGGCGAGTGGACCCAACAACTGAAGTCCACTGGGTGGAAGTTCCCTCCTCGCCACAGCTATCTGAAACTGATGTCGAAGCATAATGAGGATTGCTCGCCACGCGGCTGGTTGACTTGGATGAGAGAATTCCTCCTGTCGACGATGGCTGGTGTGGGCTGTCACTGGTTGCCCCAGTTGGGGAGGTCGGGGCATAAGTGTGGGTGTTTTTGGAGGAGACGAGTCTCGTCGAGTGATGGCTGCGGGTCAAGCCTGTCGACAAACCAGGACCAGCATGAGACTTCGACGAGAAAGAGGCGTATGTTGGGGTCTCAGAGCCAACAACATGGGATTCAGTGGACGAAGGTTGAATAGGGCCGGCGCTCGTAATTTCAGGTACGGTGGAGTGGGGAACTGTGGTCGAAGGCTCGTACGGGAGACCATCCGGGCCTGTGGGTTCCTCTGGCGAAGAACTCTCAATACCAGGGGACCAGGTCGACACGGTAGATCCAGAATACCAGTGACCAGACGGGGGCAGACCGCTGCTGGCTTTGCTCGACAACGTCGGCACAGTTACGACCTCGGTGATTTCGCTTGTGGTCGTGAGAGTCGTAATAGCCTCTGAGGAACTGGATGGCTGAATGGGCCCGCTCGACTTGGTCGATAGGACAGGAGGCGTGTAACTTGATCCTGCTCCTTCGGATTCCGTCTCAGATGCCCTGGAGGAGGGAAGATGAATTCCCAACGTCAAGGTAGCGTGCGAGGAAAATGTCGAGATTGAAGCACAGTGGCCAGGAAACTCGATCACGGTGATAGTGGCAGTGGTTGTGACAATGGTGCCGTAGTCATAGCCATATCGTGGAATTACCCCTGCAAGAGCCAGAGTAGAGCTAGAAAGTTCGCCTCGAATTAGACATCACATTCCACGTCTTGAATCACTGATTGGGGCTAAATTTACCTTAGGCCCAGGACGGCCAGAGGATTGGCGAGGCGAACCATTGCTGCCAAAAAAAAAAAAAAAAAAAATCTCGGTTGAAAAGAGCGTAAATGTTAAACGAGAGTAAAAAAGAGAGTGGGAGGCCTCGAAAGAAGTTGAAGTCCAAGGATGGCAGGCAATGCTTCTCCAAGGTTTGTCGAGCAGAACACCGACTTTATGTATCCCTCCCTCGCAAGGTTAGGATAAGCGACCGCATACGCAGGTGTGGACGAGGGACATGGAATCAAGCCAGGTCGCCACACCAAACAAACAGAGAGGTTGACCATCCCATCATCCTAGGCATCTCTTCTCCGTTTGAGCAACCTCTCAAGACTTGTCATCTATATCCAACACGCGGCCCATGCAGTTCGTCGGCTCCTGAACGGTAGATACCTCAGTCCACCGTAGCTCTCCAAACGAGACTCGGTAGACAAGATCAGTTTACCTTTCCCGTTTCTAAATCTGGACCGGTTTTGGCGGCGCGTCCCTCAGGTGATGGCTTCTAGCTGAGGAAAGAAACCGCCGGATCTTGATCATTTGCTTAGAGTTGCACAGGTCGGGTCTCGCAGCTCGAAAGCCACAATATATCTCTGTCAAGCCAGCCTCACCCTTTAATACGGCCGACCTTGTTTTCGGTTTCCTCTTCCGCTATCCATTCCCGAACAGGGTAGTTCGGAAACGTCTCCTCGGGTTTTCCTTTAAAAACGAGGTTGTGTCAAACGGTGGCACGCACGATCCCCAGTGAACTCGCGCAGAGATTGTGCACCCTGGGTAGGACACACACAATATTTTGCGGAACACCAACACAAATGGAGCGCCCGGGGCTCCCTTGTGCAGTAAGGGCATGGCAAACTGGTCCATCTGATAGCATCCGTATTCCTCACGCGTATTCAGGCCATGGAGGCTCTGCAATCTTCTCAGACCGGACTTGGGCATCAAGAACAAACAAGCAGTTTCTTGCTCCGGCTTCTTCCAAAATCCCAGTCAGACCAGACCGTCCGGCCTGGTTGCTACCCGTAACTACCAAGGCAGACTCGAACCAGGACATTCCAGTCTCGGATCCAATTGGTGGGGATTTCGTTTTTGGCAACGTATCGGGCCCTCGTACAGATAAGCGCAGCTTTCCCCGACATAGAAGACGCTGCGAGATGCTGAAAGGAGGAGAAGAATGTTGGCTTTTCTGTTATGAATCGAGGAGAGAGCTGAAGGCGGTCAAACGGAAGCCGAAGAACAGGGAATGTGCTTCCGCAATCGCCAGCCCCAGTCGCTTGTTCTAGACCGGAAAAAAAAGAGAGCATTGGGGCCAACAAAAAAAAAAAAAAAAAAAAAAAAAAAAAAAAGCTTAACCAGCCCCGTCCCCCGAAGTTCTCGTCGTGTCACAGCATAGCCGCAAGTCTCGCACAGATATGAAGAAGGGAAGCCGTAGATCTCTATCGAGTAGCCAAGGCAGCTGCGTCAGGAGTACGGCATCTTCCCGCCCCTGTGCAACTAATGGAAACCGGCCGGTAGCTGTGTAAGAAGCCAATGCCAAATTTCACTCCTAGTCACGTACCTAATCTACTGCAAACAAATCAGAGAGGGGAAGATGCCAGGGCCGGGCAGATTTGCGCCGTTGGTTAAGGTGCGTAACACGCCATCCTGACAGGACGAGACCAACGAGATCTCCACGAAGGACCAGGAAAAAGACTCGCAGCTCTCCCGAGGCTCGACCCCTTCCACACAGACCTTAATTTCGGTATGCCGCCGGTTTTGGCCGTCAATGCTGAACATGGCCATCGGAGCATCTTCGATGATAGTCTTCGGTCTTATTGTGGCCCTGATGAGCGGTATCCGTCGACGCATCCAACCGATCCAACTCCCCAGGAACTTTAGAGAGTCGGAAGGCTAGGACTTGCCATCTATTTGCTATCCGTCGAAACCCTCGGGAGACGGTCATGGATCCCGATCTCTCTCCCTGGTTATCTCATTGTCGACGAGCCATGGCTGTTCCCGTCCGGGGAGGAGGGGCCGAGCAGGTAAGGCACCTCCGCTCTAGCCAGTTCAACTCGTCTTCTTGGCTTCCAGTTCCCACTGCGCAAGTCTAGACAGGTCTGTCGGACCGACATGTTTACCGAGGCACCCAGTCAGAGGATCCCGAGGATCAAAGCATCGACTCACCTTGGGCACATCCCGAAGACAAAGGTAAGAACCCAACGCTGTCACCGTGGCCTCGCTCGAGAGGCTTAGTTCAAAAAAAATTATAGTTTTCTGTCCAGTGCTAGCTTCACTACCTTTAAAACAAGCCCTTCGAGCATCACATCCAACCACCCCTTGCAAAATCTCGGAGATTTCCCGCATCCGCAAAGTACCAAGTCGAACAATAAACGGCACATCTTCCGGCAAGGAAACGCAGATTCCCGTATTACCGCAATAAGGATGGAGAAGATACAACTGAAATCTTGCAAAATCCCTCCTCTCTTTTAGGAATAGACCCAAAAAACACAACAAATCACACAATTCCCCTCCCACCACTCATCTCCCAACCATAACCCTAGGATACATATATATAGAGAAAAGGGAAGACAGCTGGAAGAGCGGGGATGCTATAGGAAATGTGCATGACGAATCGATGGAGAAACAATATAACACAAGGAAATAACGGGGGTGTGTTCGTACCCGCGGTGTGGCAGTGGTGTGTATGTTAGACAAGCAAAACGGGGGCAAATGATGTTTTGGTAGACAAAAGAAAACTCGGTAGGGTTGTAAGTGGGCGATCAAGTTGGTGTGTGGCTATTAGCGACAGATGCCATGGCCCCTTCACGGCAGCTCCGTCGTGACAAGTATGTAGATGGAACAAAAAATCGAACAGAGAGAAAAAAGATGTTTCAAAAAGATAGCCCAAATATATCAATGCTTTGCGGTGTACGCGTACCGTGTCTTACCCATCCAACCAACGCCTGGCCAAGAAACAAACACTGCATAGATCCAGTCGACCAAGAATTCCCCGACAAGCAAGACCTTGGAAGGGACCACCTGATGTATAGAGGTCAGGGTGAACTGGATCCAGCAACGAAAGAAAGTGCGAGATCTCGCTAACGACGGAAAGGAAATTGTGTCGAGCGGAGAGGCGAGTCACCCACTACTAACGATCATTCATTGCTAGGGGAATGACTGAAACGGAAGTGTTAGCCAGACCGTAAACAGCGTCGTTGTGTCCGATGGCTAGGTGTTTTTGCCACTTACCCGTTGTAATGCATGAAAGTCTCCAACTGTTCTCGGTATCCCAGGCGTTTGCGCTGGATGTGAGGCCAGTGTGAATGATTTCCCACTTTGATGATCTATCCCTATACCCGGCGAGACCATATTCACCCCCGTCGGGCTCATGCCATGCATCATCGACATCTGCCCTTGCATGCCCGGTTTTTGGTTCATCATTCTCGGCGGTGGATTGCCCATTGGTTGGCCTTGTGAACTGAGTACGCCGATACTCTGCTGTGGTGGCTGGCCCATCGTATTCGGTCCCATGTGAGTGTGCATTTGTTGTGGGTTCATGTTCTGACTCTGTAACGTCGGTATTCCGCAGTGTTGGTGTGGAAGTGATTGTTGCTGGTGGTGATTGTGATTCATCTGCGGCTGCGTATTTTGTCCGCCCAACCTTGGCATCATCATGTCGGGGAATGAAAAGTCATTCATATTCTGAGAGAAATCAATGCCCGGTGACATTATGGGCGGTGACGCCGTGAAGCTTTGGGACATATCGGGGGAGGTTCCCGGAGGCATCGACATAGGGCCCGAGCCGTTGCTACCAAGGTTGGAGTCGGGTGAGGCCCCGCCCATCGATGCGAGCGAAAACTTGCGGTCGTAGTCGGAGACGTCGAACTTGCCGAGATCCTCTGTGTCTAGGCTAAGACCCATCTGGCCAGAAGGAGGCTGGGCCATACCAGCGTTGCCGAAGCCATCGAAGATGTCAATGTTGGCAAGGTTCGCAGTGACACACTCGGGAGCGTTCTGCAGCATGGGCGTCACGAGGCGAGGGAGCGCCTCGGTGATCTTGTTGAAGAGAAGAGGAATAAATCGCTGGTCTCCGTTCCTCAGAACCGCAACGATGTTGAGCATCTGGCTAAGGCGTTCACGAGGGCCGACGGTGAATCTATCGCGGGACATGGGCTTGTGCGAAAGCGCGGTGGCAGCATCGTTGGCAATCTCGAAGAGCTTTTCGATCTACAGGGATGAGTTAGTTGGTTTATTTCACAACAGCTGTACTTCCCCGTATCTGTCAACGTACCAAGCCGGTACCCATGAGCTGAACGCCCTGGCCGGGGAACTGAGAGGCCCAGCTGGCGAGCATTTCACGAGCAACTTCGGCAGGGAACTGGAAACCCATGCCGTTGTCCTCGCCCTGGCTGGACAGCTGCCAGTGGGTCGTCTTGAGCCACTGCTGGTTGGTCGACATGTCGCCGAATTGGGAATCCTGGCAAAGATAGCTAGGCATAATGTCGTTCAATTGCTTCTGCAGGTTGGTCGTGTAGGCGGACGTGAAGTTCGCAGCGGTCTTGTTCCAAGTCGAGATAAGGGAGTCGTCGAAGAGGCGGAAGGCATTGACAAGGGCGAGGAAAGGGGGGAGGTCCTGAGCCAAGGGATCGGTGGGATCATCGGCCAAGGTCGGCAGGTTGATGGAAGCCTGCAGCGTGACGGGTCGCTGTCGCTGGAGAGCGTAGGCCCTCTCGGTGGTGAAGATGAGCCAGTAGAGCCTCCTCCTGCGGGCGGATTCGACGGGATCCCACTGCCTGTACGTGTCCTCCTTGTGCATCTCGAGCATATGAATCATGGTGCTGGCCTCACGGAGATAGTACCAGGCCTTGCCATGGGATTCGACCCCGTAATAGCAGGCGAAGATGAAGTAGCTGGTAGCAATCGAGTTGAGGGTGGGAGTGTCGAGGTACTCGTAGCCGTTCCTCACGCGCATGGCCTCCTCCAGAAGAAGTGTGCTGGCGATGAGATTCGAGCCGGGCATAATGTCGAGGTTGTAAGGGTCGCTCGAAGGCATAGTCATGCCGGGCTGAAGCATGACGAAGGCGCAAAGAGAGGTGACGAGGCAGTAGACATCGCGGTTCTGTTCCATGAACATGGACTGCTGTTCTATCGCCTGGCGGACGAGGATTGGCATGTTGGAGTACATGTGGGAAAAGAAGAACTCAAGGCATTCCTTGACGAGCTCTCCCGTAACCATGCCGGGCGAAGGGCCGGCAGTCGTCGGATTCTGAGAGGGACCAGCCGTGAGGCCAGCGACGCGGTTCTGTACACGGGCAGCGAGACTCGTCTGGCGTTGCGTCTCCCTCAACTCGCTGATGACCTTGGCGCGGGAGCCCTTGGGGCCCTTCTTCTGTGGGATGGCATTGTAAGTGCAGGAGAGCTGAGCGGTCGCGCAGTTCCTACACGGGTTGATTCCGTCGCACTTGACTTTCCTGCGATGGCAGGCATCGCAGGCCCGTTTTACGGCGGCCGACATTGTGTCTGTCGAGAAGGTTATAAGAGGTGTTTGGTCGATTGAAAGGTCGAATACACAATTGACGGATTATCGACCAAGTTAAGAAAGAGTAAGGATTGTCTGTTTAAGAGGAGTTATTTCGGCGACATTGATCGGCGGGTTCAGGGGGCCGCTCGAGTTAAACAGTTGATCGTCTCGAGGCAGCGGTTGTCCACGCCGAGGAAAACGCGTGCTCGACGTTCGAGGACAAAATTAAGCTATTGATCGAGGGTAAAGAGAGCAAAGACACAGAGTTGTGCAAAGGCAAAACCCTATGATGATGCGATTTACAGTGAGAGCATTTGAGAGGGATCGAGCGTGCGAGGTGGTGAGGATGGGATGCAGAGACGATCGGGTCAAGGAAGGGAAGGAGGAGGGTGGATCAAGTGACGGATAGGACGTTTTGGGGGGAAGGCAAGGAGGTAATTGCTGGACACGTCGAGTGTGGGCTGCGGACCGGGGGACTTTGGGACTTGGGACTTGGCTTGGTACTGGATTGGAGGGACTTGGCAATACGAAGTACTGAGGAATGGAGGCAATGCACACTCGCACACACACCACTTCCTTCAATTGATCCTTGTAATTGTCGACGCAGGGCTCAACTGGTGGTACGTTCAGGTACTTGGCTTGATTCAGTACCAAAACAACAGAGAATTTTGGGTGATAGGATTTTAGACAGTGCATTGAACACGGTTTACTTGTCAACCAATCACTCTTGTCTCTACCCCAGGACCCATTTCCCTCCCGGTCCCCTTGGACCCACAAGTACGTACCGTAGCGTTCAAGACAGGAGTGTACTTTGTAGTGTACCCTGGGAGACTTTCATGATGCCCACACGGTGTACGAAGCGTCCAGGAGGAAGGAAGAAACTTCCTTCTTCTCCCTTGGACTTGTTCACCATTCACCACTGCAGATCTTTCCTCACTGGGCAAGTACGCACCACCGATTTCTCAAGGCCAATTTCATAAGTTCTCAATGAAGACAGGAAAGAAGAAAATTTAGACTAGTGTTGCGTGGATTATTTCATTGAGTTTTCGCAATGCAAGTACCGTACTCTCAAACGAGAATTGACACAGTTGTGAGCAGACATGCCCATTCCCCAGAAAATGCTCGATTGGGTCATCCGGCCAACACTGAACCAGAGCCATAACTGGAAGAAGACAAATGAGACGATCCGGGTTTGAAGGACCGTGTAAGAGGACAGAGAGTAAAGCCGGGTGCCTCTTCAATTATTCCAGAGGGGAAAGATACTCAAGCCCTAGCTTGGCTAGATATTGCTTCGTACCTCCCTGGTTTTGGAGCCAACCCAGTCAGGGAGATGAGGCTGTTGCTGTTTCTTCCTAGCGTGTGGCTTGCTCTCGACAGGGCCCTTGGCGGATGGTGCGAGTTGGCATGAATACGAAGCCAGTGAGTGACACAACAGTGAATCTTCGACACACAACATGGTCTATTTTGGTATTTCCACAGTCTCAGTCTGTGGCGTAAATGTCGGTGGACGAATTACTCAGGGTGCGACATTTGTCAGGGAAGCCTGGGGGGACCATTTGTCAAGAGCAGGATTGGAGAGATCAGTCTTGTAAACTACGAAGCAATGTTCAATGGGGGCCAAAAGCAAAAAGTTCCTAGTTCAATGCTGTGCAACTTCAGGATGACTGCTGAGGGATGCTCCTTGGCTGCCTTCAGAGCTGACGCCTTCCTGGTCTTCCCATCGATGCCCAGTCCATCGTCGATTTGCTTATTTTTTCTTTTCCCCCTTCTCCTCGGCTCCCTTCTGTCCTTTCCTCTTCTGATCTGGTCTCCTGTCAGGGGACTGAAGACGCCAATTTGATCCAATTTGATCAGAGTGACAGATCACCAAGCTAACGCCAATACCCAGTATGAAAGCATTGTCCCATACACCATAACATAACAATACCATTGACATCAAGGACTCCCGTCATCACTCATTGATCATTCACTTCACTGAAGCGAATTGGCAATTTCGAGGTTGAAACAGTTTCGTACTGTGTCAGGCTACTTCAGGGTACAGAGTAATTACAAGACGGGATACAAGGAAGGCCCTATTTCTCTCCCCAACGCCCTCAATCTCTCCCTCTTTTCTCTTCCACTTCTACGGAAAACGTCTTGATCAATCTCCCGGCATCATCGGAAACAAGGCATAATTTTGGAGTAATGGCAGTAGCGAAAGAAACTCGCCTACGAATTCTCGTGTATGGGATATTAGCCTGCAACGTTCAGAGGTTCAGAGTAGATCAACTCCATCGCCCTCTCTCGCGAGTCTCTCTTGAATGTTACCGTCCGATGTCCTTCTCCCTCTCCCCAGCTTCGATGCGAGAAATGCCTCGGCGAACTCCACCAACAATACTCCTTTCTCCGGACCATTCAGTGTCAACGTCTTCGTCTTCCCCGACCTCCCCGCTAAATTTCGACCTACCGGCAATGGGACACTACTAAACTAGTCGGTCCACTGTGCTAGTTCGAAGTACCGAAGTACTGAAGTATCAGGACACTAAGAAATGTCTTCGCGTACACCAATGTACCCCGTGTACTTCCGAGGAAAGCACAGTGCAGTCTCTCAAATGATGGCGTCAATGCTCCAAGCGTGACCTCAAATTGGAAGAATCAATTGAATTCCTTCTCCACTCAAACCCATTAAACCATGAAACATCTTCAAGAGAAGGTCCAACACGAATCGATGCTCGTTCGTTGGGTCAGTGCCCCATAGCATCGATTGATGATATTAACTGCTTCAGACTCGTAAATGTCAGTGCCTACTACTTCGCACTTCGTGGGCTGTGTCGATTCATTGCCCTTCATTTCCAGCACGTTCATGCGACGACAAAGTTCGAAGAAGAGCTGGGATTGGGCGTCCGGCGTTCGCCGTGAACAACTGCACTCTTCTCGAAACTTTAATTCGCTTTTTTCACCCACCCATTTCATAGCACACATGGCGCTAAATCTCCTCTTCCCCGGCTTCTAGTTACTTGTTCACGATTACTTCGTAATATCTGAAGGATTCTAAACTTTCCCCTCCTCTGGCACAGTTGCCGGGTGTCCCCTCCGGAGCCAAGTTGCAACCCAGTAATGCAGAATATCGGTCCTGCTCCGAATCCCCAAGCAACCAGCACAGCAAAGCAACCGGAACTCTTCAAGATTCGCCTGCATGAGGTCATCGTGCCCTTTCGTCGCAGTCGGCCACTTGTGTTTAGGGCCGAGAACCTAGAAAGAGCAAGAAAACCGCCTCTAGGACCAGTGAGGGGGACACTAGTTTCGTAGCATCGCTTACGACATGCAAGAGCGAGTCGTGCGATCCAAGACGCCGAGTTCAGTCCAGTGGCTGGTTTCTTGATAGACTCTTGAGAGATATATCGATGTGATGATGATCTTGTCTGGCATCCGGGCATTCATCCAACTCTAATCGATTCTCGGCCTCTTTCTCATAGGCTTCCATTACTCCGGACTGGCACCGGCATGAAATCGCGATGCTTGACAAGTGTCGCATGTCGCGAAGGTGCCGAAGATTGGGGACCAGTTCCAAGAACCGAACCTGTCAAAACGTGGCTGGCTCACTACAATAAGGTTCCTCTCTGTTTTGACAGACCAAAATGTCTCAGAATCCCTAGGGTGCAAGTCAATGAGTGGAACAAACAAGAGTTGGTGGGATATGACAGCCATATTAACGCACACGATAGTCTCACTTCCGCATCTCAACTCTTTTCAAAGCCCAGCCCTCGCAACTTCTGCTCGTCTGCTCGTCTATCCATGAAGCGAGGTCGCAAGCAGATGGGCTGGTCCATCTCTCTGGTACTCAAGGGAAACTGTCGTCGTTCATCCTTGAACACTGAGGGAAATCAACGGTCGCGAGTGTCCCAAGGGACCTCTCCATGTCTCCACTTGTAGCGAACAGTGTGAGGATCAGCACTGTACGGGAACGTGAGGACATACAACGTTTGATTGAGAATGCAACGCTACCTTATGCCCCCCAGCGGATCATTCTCATTTCGTCCTAGCGAATCTGCGTCGGGCCGATAGGGCCAAAGGCACACCACTGAGAACGCGCAGGAGCCAAGGGGTCTGCGAGGCTGCAGGTCAAACGGCCTATGATTGGCCAGTTCGCACCTTCTCAATCGGGGCGATGATCAGGTGGTCGAACAAATCGCTGACTCAGCTACCATTAGTCATGTCACCCGAAGCCAAGGGTAATTTCGGGTATTCGTGGGTCACCTGATCCTCTCGTTCAATCCACACCTGGCAGCAGTTGCCAACCGCACGGGTCCTTCTTGGCAGACTCTCCCTCTCTCACCTGTCTTTGCTTCCTTGTCAGATCCGCCTGCATCTCGCCGTTTCGAGCACAATTTTGGGTTCAAAAACCCGCAGTGCCGTAGCGCCACCGCCAATGGCGATTGGGTCAACTTGCTTCTTCTGCCTATCACGACTTGATCGGGTTTAGCATTGTGTGGCTCATCCATCCCTGAGACCTTTCAGCTGGTTGAGCTTGTTAAGGGGGGAGAAGGGGTAGGACCAAGAAGAGACATCTTGTTATTAGGGTCATCCTCTGTTCGATTTTCGTACTTTGCCTGGCTGTGTGTGTTTGAGGGGGAACAGACAGCTTGGCTTGGACTTGTTGAGTTGTAGCCCTCTTGAAAATTTTCAAGCGGGAACAATCCCTATCGCCAAACCGGCAACCCTGTGATATCACCCTCGTTCCCCCCCATCGCCATCCCCACTGACCCGCTGACGAGTCGGAGAAAAAGAAGAAGAAAAGATTAAAAAATAACTGACACCCCCCAAAAAAGGAGAGAAACACATTAACCAGCGGGAAGGTCGAATGGCAGTGAACTCATCTTACTCTTCAGCCTTGTAAGGCGATTAAATTTCGAATCGAATGGGTGGGGTCCGGTGATTCCATTCCCAGTGAGGACAGCTTTTTCGTCAGGAGCCTCAATTCGTAGCTCGACCAAAACCCTCCAATCTCATCTCATCCACCTCTTGGCTGTCGCTCGGCGTTTGTTGCCCGCTCTCACTGGTCCTTCAACTCTCCTTTACACATTTCTTTCTCGTTTGGTTCAACCTTCCGCTATCCTAGACTCGTTTTCCCCTGATATGTGAGCACTCTCAACCCAGGTTTCGATTAGGCCACTTGGGGGTGAGTTGAGACGGTGATAGAGAGAGAACCAGAAGAGACCAGAAGAGAAAGCAAAAGGGCTTGGAAACTACGTCACTCGACGATACGAAGGCAAGAAGAGGGCAACGTCATAGTTTATATCAACCCCCGGAAAACAAAAGAGGCGAGGAGTGGGACACGCTCGAAGAGGGAAGAGGGTAGAGGGACCGAGGTCAGAAGCAGAAACACAAGCGAAAGAAGAAGAAAGGGCGGAGAGGGAACGGACAGTGAAGAGAAGAATACGACGGTTTCTGTGGGCGCTGCGCAGAGACATTTTTGACCACACACCCTTCCCCCTACCATTTTTTTATGTTTATTTTTTTAATATCCGCTCTTCCCACCTCGTTCCTATTTCCCAGTTGAGTTAGGATGACCCTTCCTGATCGCCCACCACCGCCGCCTCCGCCTCCACCTCCTCCCTCGTCGCAACAACAGGAACCGTCCCAAGACCCATCAAAGCCAACGACAGGTCGCAAACGGCCTTACAGGCCCAAGGTCAAGACTGGCTGTACATCATGCAGGTAAGTTTATTGGACTCTTTACGCTTGATTTCCCTCTTATCTCTCTCCAGGTAGCACCCCCGTGAATGGATGGATAGGTCCCCTAGCTTGGTCCAACAGCCGCTTGTTGCTCCTTCACGTTCCCTTCCCCAGTAACTTTATCACCTAAGGCTGGGCTTTAAAGCCTATGCCAACAGCACGCCCTTCTGGAGTACGGGGCTTGGGCAAGGTCTAGGGCCGTCCCGGGCCTGGATCTTGAGAACCCATATCCCCGTATCGCTAGCCCTTCTGGGAAGCAAGATCAGCCCTGTAGGCGGATCCCGGCTTCTCAACGGGCACCTGCACGAGTTTCTTTTGATACTGCCCCCCTCCTTCACGCCTTCCAAATCCCGAGTAGATCATCCCCCCCCTTCTCCTGCATCATGGGGGTGTCGATATCCATAAGCTGTCTTTTTTTAGATCACCGTCTTAAAACATAATATTGACTCTTATGTGTAGGACACGACGAGTTAAATGTGACGAGGGGAAGCCAAGTTGCCAACGGTGCATCAGCACCGGCAGGACCTGTGATGGCTACGAGGACCTGTTCCGACTGGTTCAATGGGCTCCGAACCAGACCCCGACCAGCTCTCAGCCGCCCAAGGACAATGCGCCCAAACCGGCATTTGCAGTAACATCAGCAGCAGCAGCAGCAACATCATCAGCTCCTGTAGCAGGTACACCCGCTTCGGGGTCTCAAAAGAGGAAGAGACAAGCATCCCAGCAGCCACAGAAGCAGCAGCAGCGCCAACAACAGCAACAACAACAACAGCCACCTCTCGTGATCGTATCTGACCATCCCAGCTCTGTTGGTTCGTCCTTTAACGCAACTGAGACAAACAGGCATCATCAGCCCGCCATCTTAACCGCCGCATCTACCCCATCATCGGCCGGCTTTTCTTCTCCTTCTCCCACAGTCTCAAATGTATCATGGCCCGGGTCCGCCACTGTGCCCTCGCCGAATCAGCCAAGAGGCTTCTCGCAGACCTTGGCATCTCGCCCAGCAGCGGTCTACAGCCCCTCAGTCTCGCCAATACCGCGGCCCTCTCCCCAATTGCCCCCTGAATATATCCACGGAGGAGCAGGCCTAATACCTACAGTACCAGTACCTCCCGCTCATCATCCTCCTCCCCATGGCCATGGTTCTGTCGCCCCGCGGCGTGGTGGCAGCAGAGCTTACCCTCCCCAGGCACTACCTCATGGACAGCAAGCCGGTCCGTCATCAGCAGCAATGCATAGCTTACCTCCGTCCCCGGCGGTCCCGCCAATACCTCCTTCACAACAGCCGCCGCCGCCGCCGCCCAAGTTAACGGCGGAGGACATAGCCACGCTAGCAGCACGATTCACAAACAAGCCCATCTCCGAAGGCTACGAAGTCGAAGCGCGAACAACGCTCGAATTCAGCGCCTCCGAGCCCGCCGTTCGCCACGCCCTCCGCGCTCTCGAATCCCTCTACAAAACCCTCGAAGACCACGGCCACGAGTTCCCCCACGGCCGCTTAGCCGTGCCGACGGTCTACCACGGCCTGCAAGAATACAACAATGCCATCGTCAACCTCGCCAACAAGCTCGCCGTCATGGACCGGCGATCCTGCGAGGTCGCCCTCGTCTGCTGCAGGCTATTCATCAGCATCGGCACCATCACGCGCGAGTACACGCCCGTGGCGGAGCACTACATCCGCGGCATGCGGATCATGCACGAGGCTGCCACGCGGCCCTATCTCGACGCCTGGGGCAACGTCATACCCACGCAGAACGGCGAGTTTCCCAAGATCGACGTCTTCATGATCAAGATCTTCATGTCGCCCGACCGCATGGCCCCCGCGTGTAAAGCCGCCGCCCTGGCTGTTAAGGATCGGAGGAGGCTCCCCGCGCATGAGTGGATGCAGCTCGTGCGGTTCGCGCGGAACGAGGTGCGTGCCGCGAGGGTCAAGGCGAAGTTGGTCATCATTAGCAAGCTTGCGCTTCAGCACTTTGATAACGTATCGAGATTGCGTCCGGGGGCCGACTCGTCCAAGGTCCGGGCCGAGAAGGAGGTGTTGTTGACTATGCTGAATGATTTGGAGCTGGATGGGAGGGATGGGCCGAGGGATTTGGGGGCGTATCATGGGAGGTTCCATTTCTTGTATCATTCGGCGCTGAAGATTGCCGTAACGTTGTCATTGTGGGCGCCGACTCACGATATTAGCGAGTTGCAGCCGGTGTTTCAACGGGTTGGCGCTGTATCGGGGTGCCTCATCTAGATTTTGGGTAGAGTCAATACGACTTGGGGGTTTCGGGATGAGCTTGCGATGGGCGATTTTGGTTCAACTATTCGAGATTTGGGTGTATGTTATGGGTTTTATGTCGAGATGATTTTAATGTTCGATTTATATTTCCTTACTATTTAATTTTTTTTTTTTTTTTTTTTTTTTTTTTTTTTCTCTCTCTTTAGTATTAAAGTAGGTGTTATGGGAATATAACGAAGCAGAGGATAAATAATACAGAATCGAGATTTATCGAGACTTCAAGCTAGAGAACGGATGCATTTCTCAAACTGAAGTGATATGTTTCTATAGTGAAAGATCTGGTGAGAAGTTGGCGAGACACCAGATCTTCAGGTCGAAAATCGTGAAGAATATCGCTCAATAATAATATCAAACATCACAACTAGATCAAAATGTACTTCCAGACAATTCACTCCGTCCATCTAAAGCTCCTTAGCAAAAATCCCCAATTGACTAGCCGACACATCATTCTTTACGATTCGTTTGGAGGTGGCACAGTTCCTGCTCCTGCGAGGTTTCTCGCAAGCATCTCTCCCAATACAATGTTCCAGCTCCGTCTTGGGCAGGATCAGCGGATCCCTCGTTGATCTAATATTAGTTCTTTGCTCATACGCATAGGCAAGGCCGAATAGCTTCGCCTCGCTGAATCGTGAGCCGAGGAAGGATAATCCGATGCTGTGTCCGTGTGATTAGTCTTTGCAATAACTGGATACTGAAGTGTAAATAGCGAGAAAGAGAAGAACATGAAAGGCAAACATACGGAAGACCTGGCCCCTGAGTCGTCATTCCCCTCTCATTCTTCACCACCTCGGCATCCTCAGGATAAAACCCCATAGGCACCGAAACCGCCGGCGCCGCAGCCAAGGCCGCAAACAAACTCGCCACGGACGTTGGCAAAATCACAGCATCCAACTCATGCTCCTCGATAACGCCCAGCAAACCTCCCTCCCCTCCATAACTCCGAAGCAGCTCAAGATCCTCCTGGAAGCGCGGATCGGTATTATTATAGCCCATCTCATCGAGAGCAACGTCCCATATGGCCGTATTACGATCGGGATACTCCTCGGCGGGTGTCGAACGCGTAAATTCCCGGATATCAGCGAGGGAGTGCACATCCGCGGGGTTCTCGGTAAGTTGAGAGAGATAGGCGGCGAGGTTCGTCACGAAATCGGCGTTAAGGACGCGGCTCTCGAGGTCGAAGTCGAACGTCTCGGGATCTTCGAAAGCGGAGAAGTTGGAGCTCACGATAGTGGCACCAGCAATGCGGAGGACGTCGAACGCGACGTAGAATGCCTTGCCCTCTGGATGGTCCGGGTTAGCGATGCCGAAGATTTCGAGAATATTGCTGGGCATGCCGAGGCGTGTGCCCGAGAGGGCGCCCTTGTCAAGGAAGGAGAGATAGTCCGGGATCGCGCCGTCGTCGGGGATCGAGGAAGTGTAGTTGTCGTTCTTGTCAAGGCCGGCAATGGCTTGGAGGATGTAGGCGGCGTCTTTGACCGTGCGGGCCATGGGGCCGATGGTGTCTTGGTGTTCGCTGATGGGGATGACGAGGTCTCGGGAGGTTAGGCCGATGGTGGGCTTGAATCCGACGATATTGTTTCTTTGGGACGGCGAAATGATGGAGCCGTCCGTCTGGAAAAGGAAGGTTAGCTTTTTTTCTATCACAAGATATGTCGAGCCATATAGATATACAGAATTTTATACTCCCTTTCTTTTCCTTACCTCTGTACCGATACAAGCAGCGGCCAAGCCCAAGTCCGACGCAACACCACAGCCACTCGAGCTACCACTGGGATCTTGGGCCTCGAGATAAGCACCGAGGACTTGACCACCGTCAGCCGACCATCCATTCGTGCCGTTGTCGGATCGGAAATTGGCCCATTGGCTCAGGTTGGCTTTCCCGAGGATAATGGCCCCGGCTTCCCTAAGTTTCTTTGCAACGAAGGAGTCGCGGGGGACTTTGGCGCCTTTGAGGGCAAGCGAGCCGGCTGAAAGACATTTCAGTGAGATTGAGCGTTGGCACACTCGGGATGGTGGGGAATAAGACTCCGGAGGGAAGTCTGGTTCAGTTCATACCAGTGTTGTTCATCCTGTCCGCGGTAGCAATGTTGTTCTTGATAAGAATAGGAAGTCCATGGAGAGGCCTGTCCAAAACATTGGAAAAATTAGAACCATGATGGGATCTGCTTGACATAGGGCGCAATGGAGATTTATCTATACCCTTGAATCTTTCCAGCCTCTCGTTCAGCATCGAGAGCAGCTGCGATTTCCAAGGCGTCGGGGTTAATCTCTGTGACAGCACGAAGCTCGGGGTTCACCTCTTCGATCCTTGCAACGTATGCCTAATGGGCGTCCATAAAGCTATCTTAGCAAATGTGCCCTTTTAAGATGTGTCTAGCTGTAACTTATTCGAACCTACCCTAACTAGATCTACACTGGTAAAGAGCCCCTGCTCGAGGCCCTGGGATAGGTCATCTATCGACGCATCTCGGAGACTAGGCAACGCCCGCTCTTCCTCATCTGCGGTCCAGTTAGATTTTATCCCCGAACAGCATCAAGTTGAGGCAATACGAAATTACCTTGGCATACAGCGGCGCCGGAAAGGCTCCAGAGAGTGAGGGCTCCCCGAACGCAGAGCTTGCGAAACGACACCATGGTTGGTCTCTTGTATTACGAGTGTATCAATACTCTTTTCACTTTCACTTGGTTATCGCGGATTTCCAATATGAAGCGATCCGATGTTGACCCCTTGATGTCTCAGTTAGCCTTAGGTTCTCATCTCCTCACTTCTTGCCCGGAAAGCTGCCTCGACTTGCTTTGCGAGGCAATGGTAGCACAGGCGCAGGCGTTAAGAGATGCTGGGGGGCAATTGGCTGAAGGCCATAACATAATTGGAGAAGATGGAGATTCAATCCAGTGCGGATTATCTGCGCTCTTTATACGAAGGCGGGAGAAGCCGGTGAGAGGATCGAGTACATTGCGCGTTATCACCACGGAAAAGGCAATACTTCTCGAAGCGGTTGACGTTTTCCCAAAGTTCCGTCCCTTGATACAATCCCCGATATTGACAGAGACCGAACTAGGAATTCGGCGGTGACTTGGAGGTCTATGTCAACATCGCCGGCCCCGACTCGGCTCCGACTGAACGTCTATGAGTCACTCCCCGAAGAAATCTCCTCGTTAGGTATGAATCTAAATCTCGAAAATCCAGAGTACTCCATCTTGACACCGTTGTGGAAGCCGTTCAACATGGTTATAACTCCCCGTTTCCTGCTCGGGCATTCGTTCCCCCCATGCAATGCGACACACCGGCAAAAGTGCCTCCACCCACAACCACGTTTTCTCTTTGGGCGGGGTCGAGTATACAACGGGTATTATATTATCATATTGTAGAATCCAAATATTGGAAAAAGAGGAAACAAAGTGGGCCTTGACCCTACCTGATTATGGTACCTGCAAGCACCTTTGCCTCGTCCAGGATGCGCGTTTCTCGCTCTTTATCTGGATCGTATGAGGCAAAGCTCTCTTGGATCTGGTTGAGCCAAGTCACCACCCGATCAGCAACCACAAGATTGCCCACTGTACACAAGCAAAAGCGAACTTCATTAGCATGGACATCCATGGGTGGATTAAAAAAAATTAAGAAGAATATGAGCGAGAAATTGTGGGTGTAATAAGACTTACTTTCTCTCGTGCAAAACGCGTGAGGAACATTGCCCTCTTGATCCACCACAATCTCCGTCCTCCCCTTCTTATGCTCCGGCCCTTCCCTATTCGCATGCGTCTCCAACTTCTGTATAAACTCATCCCTAACGTCGTTGGCAACCCAGTGATCCTCCTTAGCGAAGAAGAACATAAACTTGGGCAGCTGGTGCCTATGCTCCTCAGCATCATGGAACACCTCCCAGAGCTCCTCGTCCCACCTATCGTCCGAAATAGTCGCCATCTCATCCTTGCCCATGTGAAGACCTTGCCAGATGCCGTCTCGGCTCCTGAGGAACTCGACCGTTATCCGAGCCGCCTCGGGCGTGAAGCCCATCAACTTCCGACACACGAAGCGCAAAAGGGCATTAGGGAAGGGTAACAGCAGCGCCTTGGCCAGGTGGTGAACGTTCCTGCCCAGGAAGGAGTACTCATTAAGAGCGTTTAACCGCTTACCGCTGGGCGATTTCGCAATGTGCGTGACCGTGGGGAAGAGGAGGATGCCATGGTACAGCTTCAGATGGCGAGCCAGCAATGGGTTGTGGTGATGGCGATGGAAGATTTCGAGCGTGATGTACGCGCCGACGGAATGGCCAGCTATCACCACGAAATCGTAGGGCTTGCCGTTCTCACCCGGCTTCGCCGAGTCCTCTATCCTCCGCTCCGCCACGTTCGCGTAGGCCTTGAGGATCTGCTCCTCTAAGCTGTAAGGAGGACAGCTGTTCGTGAAGGGCACGTGGTCGTCGTCGTGGAAGCCGTAGAGACTCCTGCCGTAGATGTCATAGGCGACCTCGCGCTGCGATCGGTCTAGGAGGACGCGCAGGAATTTGAGGAAGCTGTTGTAATATTCTATGAGGCCTGGGTTTCCTGGGACGAAGTAGACGAGGGCGTGGGCCCAGGGTTTGTGAGGCGGCCGAGCTGCTGGGAGGAAGATGGAGTGGTCTGGATTCATGGTGAACGCTGAGATGAGGATGGTGAGGATGAGAAGGTGCACTTGAGACTCTGCGCCAAAACTAGTGCAGAGAGTTCAGGTTTCCCCCCCAGGATAAACCTGTCGCCGTAAGAAAAGGAGAGAACAGTAAAAAAAAAAAAAAAAAAAAAAAAAAAAAAAATCCAAAACCTAGATCTAAAGGTCTGTCCTCATGAGCGCCGAGACGGACTGATTGACCGAAGATCCCGTTCTGAAGCTCAACTCCAAGACAATCAATTCACGGCCGGTTTGCCAAATGTCCCCGAGTTGCAAGAAAAAGAGCCAATTATGCCTTCAAACTAAACATAAGAGGGGATGAAAATGACAAAGACGCAAAATATCAAGATCGACCCCCTTGAATTCGTGCCTGCTTGGCAACAGTCGGTGACATTCACAGGCACGGGGCTGATTGAGATCGCGAGATCCCGAAATACGGGATCCACATAATATCAATTATAGCAATATTGTGCTTAATGCAATCAAGAATATATGTAACGGGGTATTCGAAATACCCCGAAACTGCCCCGCCATCCACCTTCCTGCTTCAACTTGACCCCTCCATGATTACGGCACGTTGAAGTTATCACCGACCCCATTTGTCATTTGTGCAATTCCGACATCGCCTGAGGACAATTCATGAAATTTCTAGTCTCTCGCTGAATCTGTCACTCCTTCGACTGCCGGCACCAATTCTGTCCCTCTTCAGTCTCTCTTCCCCTATAGAAACCTTGTCTGAGACACGCCCTCACGACACACTTCACAACCATGGCCCTTGACGCAGGCAAACGTAAGCTAGATGCTGTTCTTCGAGTTGATGGATGAAGCATATCTGACATCGGATATAGCCACATACTCTACGGGCGACAAGACCTCTTTCGCTTGGGTCACTGCGCGCGAGCGATGGCCCGTCATCATCGTCAGTGCCCCTCCCTCTCCCCGATTTCGGTGCGCCTACTTGTCGCATCGCTAACATCCGGCTCTCTGCGCCAGACAAGCGCCATTGACGATGTCTACCGGTCCGTCCACGCCGCTACGGACCCAGAGGCCGTACAGGAAGGCAAGAAGATCCTCGAATCTCTTGCCAGTCTCAAATACGAGATCCAGCACGACCGTCAACTAACGTACGCGACGCTCGACCCTCTACTTCTTCTCATTGACTCTCGACTAACAAGAGTGCGCAAAAAGCCCCATTGAGGATGATGGGTACCTCGATGTGTCCCTCTACAACGATGAATTGGCCAAACTTGGTCCCCCGACCTGGCTCAATGTCTCTTGGCTCTACTCCGAGTGCTACCTCTTCAGGTAAAACAACCCCCCGTGATCCGCTCCCTTATTTTCCAACCCCTAGTCCACATGCAGACTAATCAAGCCCAAGCTCAGGCGCATAAGCACATACTTCACGAAAACCACCCACTGGAAGACCTACGACCTCTTCGCCCGCCAAAAGATCAAGACCTTCCGCTCCTCCCGACCCGCCGTGCTCGAGCTCGCCGCGCGCTACCGAGAACTAGCCACCCAGCTCCAGAGCGGCGACCACATCCCCGACGAGGCCGAGAAGCTCATGTTCACTGAGATGTGCGAGGTCTGCCTCTGGGGCAACGCCACTGATCTGTCCCTCCTGACGACGCTTACGTACGAGGACATTCAGAAGCTGCAGGGCGCCAAGGCGCGCAAAGAATCTGAGAAGAATATCCTCGTCAACGATACGGCCACGGCGTTCGAGCTCCTTAAGAAGGCCAAAGCTGAAGGAAAGGCCGAGCGGAGGGTCGATATTGTCCTCGACAATGCCGGGTTCGAACTCTACGTCGATCTCATCCTTGCGGGGTACCTCTTGTCCTCTGGCCTCGCAACCCACATCGTCCTCCACCCTAAGTCCATCCCGTGGTTCGTGTCCGACGTGCTCCCCAGCGACTTTGCTCACCTCCTGAGCTCCCTCGCCAACCCCAAGCCCTTCTACGAGACTCCTTCGGATGACGAGAACCTGCAGGGGAAGACGCCGGCGCCTCTGGCTGATGCCGATGCCGAGAACCTTGCCTTTTTGTTCCAGCAGTGGAGCCGGTTTCATGCGGAGGGGCAGGTTATCCTGCGGCCGAACAGGTTCTGGACGCACGCGGGGAGTTTTTGGAGGATGCCTTCCGAGGCGAAGGATCTCTTTGAGGATTTGAAGTTGAGCGAGCTTGTTATTTTCAAGGGTGACTTGAACTACCGAAAGCTCACAGCAGATGTAAGTGTTCTCTCTCCGTCTTATCTGCACAAAAAGGAAAAGGGAAAAGAGAGAATATCCTATGTTCTAACGTTGGTTTCCTTACCCAGACCGATTGGGATCCGACTACCCCGTTCACCACCGCCCTCGGCCCACTTGGTCCTGGCTCCGGCATCAACGTCCTCTCCCTACGCACCTGCAAGGCTGACGTCGTCGTCGGTCTTGAGCCTGGCGTGGACGAGAAGCTCAGGGCCGTGGAGGGCGGGGGTGGAGATAGCGGTGCGAGAAAGTGGGCTTGGAACGGCAAGTGGGCCGTGATTTCATTTTCTCCTCGGGAGTGAAATGGGGGGCTTTGATGTTTGCGCATTTTTGATAGACAGATCTTATTTTACACATACATTGGAGCTACACAATCTTATTGATAGACCCTCGCGGAAGGTTCTTTGTCTCGATGAGGCAGAGCACGGCCGAGAGCATTTGCTATGATGATTCGCGTCACTTGTTTCATACCCACGCTTTCGCTTGTTTGCTTGTTTTCACACGTTCCAGAGGAGTATAAAATTGCTTTGATGAATGGCTGACAGACGACTGACTCGAGTACCCCCCATGCTCATAACCGAATCCAAAACCAAGCCGTAACGCAATGCGAAAGGAATCGCTAACACGCCGAAAGGTCACGTCTAAACTCGCCCCAAAACAAACTGCCATTCCCAAACCCAAAAACTCCAATCCCATGCTTGCCGAAAGCCCACTGTCCAGATCGCCATCAAACCCCATCAAACAGTCCCCTCGTCCCACTGAACCCACCTCCGAATAACCTCATCCACAACTCTCACCTCCCCCCTCGAAGCCCCAACCTTGAACCACTCCCTATGCTCCTTCCCACAAGCCGCACACGTCCCCAACTCGGCCCTCAGCCCCATTCCCTGCAGCTCGAGATGCACCAACCTCTCGACCTTCCTTACATGCGGCGTCATCCTCGGCCCGCCCGCCTCGGGTCTCAGCGTATGACGATTGTCCGCCGCCGCCGCTCCGCGTTCCGAGCTCGGAATGTAGGGATAGAACCGTAGGACTTCAACGTCGTAATCACACTGCCGAGACCACTGATTCATGCGCCGCTGAACATTAGCAGCCCGTCCAATCTTCAGAAGCATCGTCGCCTTCCCACCCCCATTCCCCGCGGGATTCTTATAATACGAAGAAACGGCATCACTTGCCCGCCGGCTCCGCGGCGATCCCGAACCCGAGGCCCCAGCCGACGGGGGCGCAAGGAACTGTCTCGCCGCGTCGACGGGCGCCGGTTTCTTAGCTGATGCGGGCGTCATCCAGAACATGTAGATGTACCCCGGTTCCTCGGACTCGACGAAGGGTTTTGCGAGCTCGGCCATGAGGAGGGATGCTGTTTGCGGATCGGTCGAGGGTGGGATGTAGGAGAGGTAATTCCCTGCTTGGTTCTTTCCGGACGATTTTCCCTTGCCGTTCAATGGTGATGAATTCGGTCCGTAGGATATTCTCGCGTGAGGCGACGCCATCGCGGAGCCAACCCCGGGACGTGTTTTCGTCGGCGTAGTAGGCGGGACGCTCGCGACTTGCTGCACCTTTTGAGCTGGGCGAGGTTGAGGTCTCGATGGCCTGGGAACCTCTTCAATGGGAATCGAAAAGCAAAAACAGCAAAGCAACGTCCTCGTCCCGCTCGTCTTCTTCTTACTCTTCCTCCGCCTCTGCTTCCCACCAACCTCCGAATCCACACCCATAAGCCCCAATCTATCCGCCAACGTATCAATACTCGTCCTCTTCCCTCCTTCAGCCACCGAACCACCACTCTTCCCGGGCGAAGGACTTGCCGAATGATGCGCCGCCTGCTCCTTGTGCTGCCAACAATACATTTCCTCAGTGACGGCGTTCTTCTTCTTCTTGGAGTGCTTGGAGGCCGGGGAGCCGGAGTTAGAGGCTGCGAGGGGACGGCGGCAGGGTTTGCCGTTGGAGGTTATGCCGCGACATGTTGTTTCGGAGGGGAGGGAGTCGTTGCGGGAAAGGTATGATTCCGGGGTGTTGGGTATGAATGGCATTGTGTTGTTTTTGTTCCGTCTGAGGGCAGGGTTGAAGATGCCAAGCCTTGGGTATAAAGTGATATATCGGGGAAAATGTGAAAGAAAGAGAGATTTTAAAATTCAGTGAGCCTGATTTGTGAAGAGAGGGAGAGGGAAGAGGAGGAGATGTCGAAGGAGTGAGGCTATATACACCGCTGCCTCAAGTCTTCAAGTTGTACGAGACCGTTAAGACAGACCCCCAGGGTTGCCAAATGCCAAGATGAAGCATTAGATCGTGACTGGACTTTATTGACTCCAACATCTACTGAATCACAAAAAAAAAAAAAAAAAAAAAAAAAAAAACACCCAACAAGCACGAACATGAAACGAGCACCATCCGAAATTCCTGTCATTGACTCTGCCCAAAATCACAGTCAAGAAATCTCAGGCAACGCCTAAAATACTTCTGTGATGTTGTTAACGCCAGGCCTCCGACTCACACCTCATTCGAAGCGGGAAGCCATGCGGCTCGCTGCCTAGACCCGCATCCTTGGGCTGCAGAGCCCAACCACCCTCGTGTCCTGGTGTCGGGGTGGCTGGGGTTGTTCCTTACAGCGCAGCAGATTTCTTGCGTTGAGGCGATGCAGGAAAGGGATATCCAGTCTTGGCCGAATTGAATTTCTGGCCAATAAAAGAACGTTGTATTTATTCCTCCAATCGGAATCCTTGATAATAAGCCTTAATTATGTGATTGGCCAGAAATTCTCTAAAGAGAGATCCCTGTGTCTGAAATAGGTACACAGGTACATCTGCGAAGCAGCTCGCTTGTCTCTCACCTCCACATCTGCAACTGCATCACGACCAGACTTCACTCATCACGGCATCGAGTGCCATCTTAATGCGAAGCATCTAACTACATGTCTGATCAAATGAACAGTAACAATGTCGAATAAACTAATACTGTACACTACATACACCTACACTACAAAAGCGCCAGTTACCTTATCCTACCACGGATCGACAGCCACCCTCGCCAAAAGAGAGACACAGACACATACACAGAGAGAGATAGAGACCCAGCTACGCCGAGAGCTGCATCAACCCTAGCGACCAGTACATGAAACCCGTAGAAAAAAAGAAATAAAGCATGGGGGCCAGAAAAAAAAAAGAAGACCTAAACGCATCATGTACACACGCGAGGGGACACACACGCCTTCTCCAAGACAAAAAGGTATTTCATCCGCAGGAGGGAAGATCACTGAAATTTTGAGTGTCTCTCTACTCTGCTTGCTGCATCTTTCTGGCAGCTCCTTTAACGACGAAAACATGATAAATAAAAACAACACAAACGAATGAAGAAGAAAAAAAACGACAACAAGAATGAGTAAAAACGAAGGGCAGATCCTGAACTCCAGTTGAAAACCTCAAGAACCCCAGTAGAGAGGGGACGTCGCCGGGGGGAGGGAGCCGTAGGTAGAAGGGGGATAATCGTGAAAACCCGCCCAAAACAAGAATATAGCCGAAGGAGTAGAAACAGCCCATATCTGGGAGTTATATAACCCGGCCCCCCTTCACCCAAAACATCGTCCCTCCCCCTTCTCCTCAAGGAAGAGAGCCACGCCTTCTCACGCTGTTCCTCCTCTTTGCCCAAAGTTGATTTCAGCACATCCCAACCTGCTCCACACGAACAACACCCGCACTCCCCTACCGCCTCCCTGGAAAATAGAGAAAACGAAAAATGACAACCCGGCTGGAAAAAGAAAACACACGGTAGAAGGAAACAAGGGAAACAGGGTTAAGAAGCCGACCCAACATGGAATATAGACCCGAAATCTGATCCGCGCCCTTTCTCCTCACTCCTCCCATTTGCCTGCTCGCGTCTCTAAGAACCTCAGGTTTGTTTAGGAGAACCGTACCTAACGGTTGCGCTCACCAGATCCCGACCCGAAATCTGGCTCCGGCAACACCTTCTTGTCCTTGCGAGCCTTGATGACAAAATCCGCCATAATTTGGATGTGGTCAGCCGGGAAGTGGTAGTTGGGGAACGACGGAACCCGCTTAAGGTAGTCCGCATCAGGAGGTCCGAGAAGTTCCACAACCTCGAGCGTGTTGGTCGAGTACCAGAGGTAGTCGATGACGTCGGCGAAGTTCGGGGTGTAGTTGGTGAACGGAAGTTGGTCCGGCGTTCCCTTGACGTGGGCGTAGGCGTCTCGGAGGCTAAAGGGGTGCTCGATACCGTCCCTCGTGAAGCTACCGTACTGGTAGTTGCTAATCTCAAGATGGTCAGGCGGCACACGGCCGAGATTCATGAGTTCGTACACCGAGCTATCCTCTGTCGAGTTAAAGTCACCGCAGACGAGGAGCGGGATGTCCGTGTTATTTCGGTACTCCTGGCTAGGCGCTGGTTCGGGTGCTGGAGGGGCTGCGTCCTGGCCGTCCTCACCGGTCGAGCGGAAAGTAAACAGCTTCTTGTCCTTCACAGCGGGCCACCGTGCATACTTCTCTGCCAACTTCGTAACGTGCTCCATGAGGATACCGGTCTGGATAGTCTTGACGTCGGCTAGTGCGGAGTCCCACGTAAGGTGCACGTTCACCAAAATTATCCTCGCGCCGGTCAGTCGACTCTCGAAGAAGCAGATGACGGCAATGTTGTCCTTGGGCATCACTCGGTTGAAGACGTCGTGCTGGTTCTTCATGTCGGGCCGGTTGATGGCGATGCTGGCGAACTCGATAACCTGCTTGTCAAGTAACACGTACTTGCTGCCCTTCCAGAAAACTGCGCAGCCGTCGACCGACAATGCGTCCTTCTCCGACATAGTCTTCGCTCGTGTCTTGGGCCACTGCACACCCTTGTAGTCGGACTTGGCAAGCTCTGGAGAGAAGTCCTCCTTGAACGCCTCCGTCGAGATTTCCTGCAGGCACAAAAAGTCGGCGTCACGGAACCGGAGTTCCTGGAAAATGCATTCCTTCCGGTAGTCCCAATTGAGAGCTACGGTGGGCGTGTATCCATACGTCTGCGTGGTAGCATATTTGTCGCACAACACGTTCCACGTGAGGACCTTGAATTGCTCGAGGTTTGTCGAAACGTCTTCTTGGATCGTAATCATTTCGCGCATCGGGGGTGGTTCGGGAACTGTGAGAGTGGAGGGGTGTCAAAAATGGTTAGCACAATGAAATACGACGATGATGGTAGTGGCAGAGCAAATCAAATGTATGCAATCGAGCAAAGGGCCGGCGTGAAACTGGAAAAAAAGAGCCCCGCCTGCCAGACTGTATATGACTTACCCGGAGCCTGTTCGCGAAGATAGGTGATGAGGCTCTTCGTTCCCTTTTCCATAATCTCTTGCCGAAGTTCAGGGGCTAACTGCATGTTGCCCTCGATGCCGAGCATCTCTAAAAGGTGGAGCGAGCCGAGCTCGAACGGTAGAGTCCTGAGACGATTGTTGAATAGGAGAAGGCTCCTAAGATATGTACACATGCCAAGCTCGGGGGGCAGTTCGGAGATTTCGTTGTACGACGCGTCCAGGTGGGTAAGCTGTCGGAGGCGGCCCACGGCGGGTGGAAGTCGCGTGAGCTTGTTGGAGGCAATGTAGAGCTCGCGCAAGAACTCGTACTTGAACAGAGAGGGGGAAAGGTTGCGGAGACCTTGACCACTGAGATCCAAGTTGTGCCAATCTTGACGCTTGGCGACCTTCTCCATAGCCATAGGTCGTCGCATATCTTCGGTCTCGCCATTGGCACCTTGGCCGGTACCGGTACTCGAGATCGCAGGTAAGCCGATTCCCTTATTCTCGGATGCCTTCAATCTCGCGTAGTAGTGCGGCTGGTGCTGGTCCGTCATGGCAATGTGAGCGCGTTCGGCATCTTTATATAGGCGGAGCTGCTTGGCCCAGTGCTCGTTGATCGCCTGCCCTTGTCCGGCACTGGGAGTGGCAGTGTGTCCGTTCTGGAGGGTGTTGGTCGTGTAAGGGTTCGCGGTGGTGAGCGCCGAGTAGTTTGAGGGGTGGCTTAGGTTTGGGTTGCCGCCATTGTGGGCGTTGGGATCCGGCTGAACGCTCTGGTGATGCTGACCGGGCCCGGCGTGCTGATGGGTGGCGTGGGGTTGTTGAAAGTTGTAGAGGAGTTGCTGTATGTTTCGGCCAGACTGGCCGTTGAGGGGTTGCCCCCTGCCGGCCTGCGCGCCAAACATGTCCTTTCGGCCGCGACAACGGGATACACTCGGCTGGGATTCAAGGTGAGGAAGGTAACGGGGGGAAAAGAGTTCAATAGGGCTTTAAGGGAGGCGCGTTTCTAGGTATCAGGTCGAAGCGGTAATCGTAATGGCTGTGGATAAGTCTTGATCAAGGTAACGGCTTGGAGGAACGGGGTCGGATCGCCGGTAACCATGGGACATCTACCAGGGTACAGGTAAATGATGGACACCACGGCCGAGAGGTGGTGGGAATTGGTGGAAGTAAATGGGGCGCGATGAAGACGACGATGATGTGGTGGTAAGGCTACGAGGTAGGTTGAAAACTGGCATGGGCTGTCGCGGTGTGCCGCTTTGATACATGAAGCTCTAAGGTAGGTTTCAAAATCCGTGGGCCCCAACAGCACCTGAACAAGGCAGGGCTCGATTATGTGGCGGTCGAATCGACGGGGTTGGTGTGACTTTGGGGCCGGAATCGGTCAGAAGCCATGCACATGTATCGGATAGAGAGGATTTCGAGTCGCAGGCTCGCGTCTGCAGTGGATTGCAGTCTTTGAATATCGGGGTAATAGCTCTGGGTCGTCGAGGGCACGTCTATCTTGGTCTTGTCATCGGCCTCGAATCGCGACGAGGGGCCAGTGAGGGGGGGGGTGGATGATCCTGCGAGGGGGCTCAAAAGTGGTCAGGATGGGGTCAGGAAGTACGTTATAGCTCCAATGAAGCAGCTAATTGGATTCCAAAGAGGAATAGAGGCCTCGGCCAAGCTTCTCTGGCTGGAGAAGAGTTATCAGGAACAGTGGCGAGACTTACTGGAATGGAAAAGCCCAGCTCAATCTGGTGGGAAGGAAGAAAAAAAACCAGGATGCCAGCGGAGGGCGGAAAAAAACGAATGGGGTCCTGGCTGTCGCTATAAATTTGAAATTGTCAATCAATACTGTAGTGCACCGTAGTTGTGTTGGCGATGAGATAAATCAAAAGACAAAGAATGAAGTGTTTCGAAGTAGTCGTCGTGGTCGGGTTTCCATGGGAGGAGGTTGACCAAAGGCGGCTGGTCGGAGAAACTGGCGTCAAGGATACAGCACAGGGCAAACGACGTGTGTCGCACCTGCGGTCCACGGCTGGAGGCTGGAGCCCACTGTTCCTCCCCCAAATTGTCAGGGCCTGTGGGGTGACCGACAGCTGGGTAGGGACGCTGAGCAGCTGTGACTCGAGCAGGACCTGGCAGCCTGATCATGTGATGAGAATGAGGCTAACTCTAGGGTTTCGCCGAGGATTTGGCGAGTCCATGGCTTAGCTGCTGACAGCTGCCCGGTGAAGTTCTCACCAACATCTGCAGAGCTTGAAGAACTCAGAAGGACCTGTGTGAGAGTAGTCCGCAGCCTCGAGTCTTTCATCCCAGAGTGCGCATTCCAAGGATTGTCGACAAATAAAGCTGATTTCTTGAATTACCGTTTAAGAGTCTAACCATTCCTACGTGCCTTCAATCTTGGAATCCCTTCCAATGCATCTTCTCCTCGAACGCCTTTCCCATGTGCTCCCTCGAATACCTCGAACAGTGACTTTCTCAAGGCATTAATTGGTTTCACTTAACCTGGTAGTGTTTGGACTTCGAGTTGAAACTACTCACACATGGTGTTATTTCCTATATTCATCGCGCTTTTCGATTTCCGCCACGTCACGTCGCTGAGCGGCCTAGGGAATGTTCAATGGCATCATCGCGAGAGGAATGGGGCAAGCGCTCCTGATTCCGGATTCGGCACGTTTCCGTCGCCGCTGAATCGAACCTGGCGAGCACACGAAAATCCTCCTTCTTAAAAGCCACACTTATAATAGCCTCACAAATCTGTACGAATGACATGTCATACCACAAACCAGGTCGTCGTCCATTCGATGAGTCCCGGATAGATGGAGGAGCTCACCGAAAACTATTCCCGCCTCTGGGGAAGGACATTGGAATCATGCTATCGGCGTTACCTCGTGGCCGGCTTATCTTTTTTGTTATCCTCAACTATAAATCTGCATCAATGCGATCCAATTGAATCGAGTGGAAATAATAAATGACTGCGCAATCAAGCAAGTATTGATGCATCAGGCAGAAGTTACACAGCACACGGGTACAGATACAGATACCCTAATGCCCACCGGCAGCCAATGCCGTCCGCGGTCCCGCGTGACCATTGGTGCTTTGCTGATCTAGCATTAAATATTTCGTAGATACACATACAAAGTTCGGGGAGCTTCACCTCACCGGTATTGAGGTTGCGTTCGCCGACGGGATGCTGATCCTTGGCCCCTGCTCTCCCCCATCGACTATGAGGAGGGGTAGTTGAGCTAGATTGAGGGGAATCAAGCAAGTATGAAGATGAGCGGGGGAGGGGGGGATCAGAAGAGGAAGAAGGAGGAGTGACGAGTGAAATCGCCCATTGATGTTCCAGGTAATATATTGTTTCTGGCTCATATTGGACATATGCCAACTCAGCGTGAACTGCAATTCTTAGGGTTACGATTAAGAGTACCCTCTTCTGTGGACACTTTTGAAAAAGGCTAGACTCACCGCCACGCGATACAGTACTTTCTTCACTCCGTGATGGCCTCCCAGCTTTCTGTGGCTCCTCATCTGACCAGGTGACGGCCAGCGTCTTTGACCTTTACTCGACGAACGGTCAGCAGCGCATATTCTCCTCGGGCACAGTCTCCACTCCAAGCTATCACGGGGTGCAAGATGAGCGAACAAACTGTGGCCAAAGGTGACTCGGATGGCTGTCAGGGTGAGTGGTCGGATAAAGTTATCGATCGACAGGGACAAGGGTGCCATTTTGTGCATAGTGTAACTTGTGAGACTCAATCGTGTGGTCCTTCGAGTCCCCCTCCGTGTCATTCGGAATCGAGGGTCATCGCTCCGAAGAGAACCCACTTAAACCCATTCATACGAGGCCAACTTAGTTTACACCGCTTTGGGTCCGTCCCCAGTGCCCAAGCAAAGCCTCAAATTTACGGCCCCCAAGGTCTCGGACTTTGGTTAAGCCAGAGCAGGGCAAAAACACTGCGAACCCGGTGACAGGTTGCAGGACCACGGCAGGCAGAGACACGGACACCCATCGAGATTGACGGAACGTTGACGTATCGACCGGCTGGACCATGAACAAACTGCCACTATCAGTACATTATATGTCAAGTGCGAAGCAGTTACTGGGGACAATAATACCCCACATCACTTTCTGTAAGCTATTATGTGCTCTCTTCTGCGGATACAAGCGAGAGTGGCAAAACGTCACTCACCCTTAGGCGAGATGAGAGGATAAAAGTCAAGAACGTGTGCTCTTCCGCATCCCACGCTGCCGTTTGAGTCTACGGTTGCAATTTGTGGGGTAGACAACATTGAAGCACACTGAACAATAGTGCTTCCTCTAACAGCAAGTAATTAATACTTGCGAGTCATTGCCGGAGATGGGTGAGTCGGGAGGAGAGCGAAAGACGGCCAAGATTGGATAATATCGTAAATGCCATAAAACAGTTTAATTGCCTTTCTTCCCCAATATTCCAACATTGGAAGATTGGACGATGAGCCCGGCCCGGTGCACATGTACCGTACGCACGATCTCCGCTTCTAAGCCAGTCTGCAGTATTGATCTCGAGCCAGTAGGTAAAATAGCCAGAACAGCTTGTGCCATGTCCAGACCACATATTTCCCGATTGAGTCTTTCTCCGAACCGAACGTCCTGTCTCGACACCCCAATTGCCGTCTAAAACATTACGAAATATACCACCATCACACAACACAGCGCTAAAGGGACTACCGCTAAAAAGGTCCACCTCCATCCATCCGCTGCACGTACTTCGTAAAAGTAGACACAGCGAGAGTATCCTTCTTGGATAGGTATTGGAGCAGAAAGGGTCGAAGCAACCCGAGTCTTACGCCAACATGCGTGCTTCCTCGTTCTCCGTCCAGCCGCGAGAGTTTCAATGTCAAGGTTACATCGGAGACGTGTGATCAAGCAAGAAACAAGCACCAGCACCAAAGGGTTCATGTCCATGGTTGTCCCCACATTCCATATTCGCATTCATGCTTCCCCAAACAGATACTTGTGCTTCGTAGATGACTGGTCGCTTGCTTTGACGTGCCGAATCTGGGGTTTGGGTGGGAGCTGCCGCTGGTCTTGTGGTCGTAGTGTAGTTCTGGTGGGAGGAGATTGAAGGGTTGTAGAGTTGTATCAATCGCATTTGTGGAGAAATAACCTAGACCGCCAGATGAGTCGGACACGCCTCCATAGACACTGACAAGTGATCGGTGATGAATGGAAGTACAAGCATGAACCGGAGGACAGGTTCCAAAGATTTCGATCCGCCAGTTTTGACCCCTCTCAGCGAGACCTTTTCTTCAGTCGTGTTGAGTGTAAAGTAGGCACCCTCCAAACAGAAGTTCCTGTATGACGGCATGTCTTCAATTTTTTCTTCAGAATCTTGATAGAGAGTGCACACCCTAATACGTGTACGGAGCTGAGGGTGTGATGTGGCGTGGTCCAGCTGTCAGATATCATCCATGCTAGGAAATGCTCGCTCCGTCATATCGCCATATGTGCACGATGTATTGATCGGATCGTGAACCTTGATTGCTCTCCAGGCCTGGTTTCTTGCCTCCAATGGCACCTCCCCGCCTCCCTCCTCCACTAGGACGGATATTCATCCACACATACCACCGAGCAAGTGCCCGCACACCCGGTATACTAACAAAAATTCCTGTACTATACTCCCGCTCGCCTCTTTTCCTCCTTCCCGTCTTCCGATATATCTGTACATTCGAAGTTTAAGAGGGTGGGAAAGTGTACTCCAGCCCCATAGGGAAGTACGAAGCCGACTCTCCTTCACCACTAAGATCAGCCCTCGCCGTTCGGCCCTTGTCTCTTCCTCCTCCCACCCCCCCATTCCGCCTCCGACAGCCGCCGTGGTTCAAGGTAAAGTCACATCTCATAAACGCACCAGGTCGCATCTGGAAGTCGGGT